TATTTCCAAAAGTCAAAACGGGCGGGCTGATGTCTCGACGCTGCGCATGTCGGAAGTTCGCCAGCCGTCGGACGTGGCGCGCGCTACCCGCCCTGCGCCCATCAGGATCTGTTCAGTCTTGAAACGGAGCTCGGGAGCGAAGACGTTACCTTTTGAAGTGTGCCAGGCACGATGAGGGGAAATATTGATTGACTTGCTGCAGAGTTCGTTGGTTTGTAAAAGGCCTTTGTCTGTATGTGTTGTGGTGGTTTTGAAGACCAGTGCGCCAATTGGCCGGCACTTCGATTTCCAAGTTGCCTAGGTCGATAGTATCGTCAAAAACTGCGTGTGTTTAGAATGGGTGCGAACCGAGAGACGACAATAGCGGCGAAGAAAACTGGAGCTCCTTGGCCAGCAGCCGCAAATGGAGCGAGCCTTTGACGTAAGCTGGATTTTCGCCCTATCTGGGTAGTAGCGCCGAATGGGTCGATTAAGTCTGCTCTTAACCACAATCTCATTTAATGTCTTTTAATTAAGGCATTCTGGTCAGAATGGGTCATTTCGCAACTACCTGTGTGTCAATTCGATGTAATATCTTGTCAGCCAAATTCAATGGAGTTCATGCCTTATGAGCATGGAAATAGGTTCCAGTTTTTCCAAAAGCGAAAAGAAAGGGGAAAAACAGGTGAAGCAGACCGGGGTGTTCATGAGCAAGCAGAACAGTCGAGGTGAAACCCAAACACTCTTTCACAGAAGCGCATTGATGAAAGTCTTTGATTATAGTGTTGTGGATAGGTGATAAGAAAATTGTGCGGTGAGAGAATAGTTTGCAGGTCTACAAGCACGATTGAACACAGTGGGAAAAAATAGTTTATGTGTAGGATAAGTATGTCTTATGCCAATTCTTCCCACGCCTTTTTCTCTTACACATGTTTCCTGTTTGGAGATGTGTGTGTGTGTGTGTGTGTGTGTGTACGTGTACGTGTGCGTGTGCGCGTGCGTGTGCGTGTGCGTGTGCGTGTGCGTGTGCGTGTGCGCGCGCGCGCGCGCGCGTGTGTGTGTGTGTGTGTGTGTGTGTGTGTGTGTGTTTGAATGCTAGCTTAAGTACTTTTCATTTGCGTCATTGCTGTGCTATCGGACAATTTATAACGCCAATGTTTTCCATAGAGCGCTGGAAAGAAGACTTCAGGGATTTAAGATCCGGGAAAGGTTCGTTATAAGAGGGGGAGCACATTCATGGTGACTCGATCAGCGCGCCCATTGCCAGAGATTCCACTTTGAACTGTAATCCACAAGAAAGTAACCTTGATGCCAAAGTCGTATGGAGGTTGATGCAGGTTAACCAATTGAATGGCTCGTTTAAAAAAGATGTTGGACATGGAAAACTGCAAGTACTTCAGTAGCGAAAATTAAGATATGGCCTAAGAGACGGGTTAACAGTGCAACTTTTGTAGAACAGTGCATTGGCAGAACGTTTACTTTTTTGGAGCCGTTCTTATACAGAACTAGCATTGAGGCGGTTTTGTACACAAACGATTGAACTTTTGTTGAATATCGTTGGCCGTGTTTGATGTTTGCCAAAGTCAATGACATTCCAACATCCACCTTTGCCAAGTGTCATGGAGGTGCTGCAAGTTAAGGCACAGATGGTATTTTGGAAAGGGTATAATTTATTACGTTGCAGAATTTGGAACCCTAAGATGCAACTGTCAATTTGTAAAAATTCGTATTGCCTTATACCATTGCGATACATTCCAGGCAACATATGTACGGCGGTGAACATCTTGCGAGCTGGACAGGACTGAATTTTACCGGTGTGATGTTGGGCATGCTCTCCGCGCTGGAACTGTAGTAGTGGAGTGAGTTTTAACTTGAACTTGAACACATCTATGATGTTTCCATGGCCTCCAAGGTAATGTGACGAAGAGTTTCACATAGCGGTCAGCATCTTAGAGCAGACCCTGGCGTCGGCATATATAAGTGAACTATTTTCAAAGACCGGCAAACCAGGGATTTTAACTATGGAAAATATATGCCAGTTAGTTCCAGTTAGTAGAAAATATATGGCAGTAGCTAGTTCCAGAACAAACGTCCGAAAGTGTCGAGTTAGTTTTTTCCTTAGAAGCTAACATATCAGAGTTCTGTATGTGTTTTTGCATCAAACGTATGCGGCTAAATGCCGCTCAAAGAAACTTAGATGATAAGTGCTAAGTTATGGTGTGGTTTGCCAAACGCAAACCGGATACATGATGCATGCGAATGATTTTTTTCAACTTCCGCCGCAGGTTTTTGGACTGAAAGGTAAAACCACTTTTGCAAGGCCATCTATAATCGTAATTCAACGGTTTCTGGAGACAAGGAACAAAGTGTACAGAGTTAGAAGCCGTGCCCTATGTCCGAAAATCGTCAGAGTAAATCGTGATATGCCGAATGGCTGATGGACATTTGTCGAAAACGTCATCAGTCATGACGTTGAAAAGGACTGGTAATAAACAGCTTCCTTGCGAAAGGCCATCTTACAGACCATGAGGATCAGACAACGCTGAGCAACACCGTACTTGGAAAGACTGTGAAACAGTAAGAAGACTCGTGATGTGATGATCCAAATAAATTTTGAAACCCATCATGTGTAGTTTGGCTATGGGCACTGGCTTGAAAACAATGTTATATGCACAGATTATGTCAAGGAAACCCCTCAGTGTTGTGTTTATATTTAAACCCTTTACGAATAACGGCCTCATGTCAGACTAAGCGGTCGGTAGTGCTGTTATTTTTTTAAAAGTAGCGTTGAAATTTAGAAAGCATTTCCTTGCTACCTAAGAACCATTACAAACATTCAATAGTCATTCGTTTGAAACATATTCCTGAGGCAGCTGGTGTGAGCTACTGGACGACAGTTAGATGGATTTTAAGGGTACTTTCTCAATTTAGGTAAGGTATTTACCAGCGCCTCCTCTAAGTTTCGGGCAAATTTGGTAGTCCATAAATAACTAAACGCTGATGACATAAGCCACGCCAGGGTTTCAGTCATGAAACAAAAAAAGGATAATGTCCATTTCCAAACCATGCCTATGTGCTACCACTTGAAGAAATATGTGGTGAAATCTGGTTGGTAATTTTCGATAACCTGACTGGGTCATGGTTCATGACGCACATGTTTGAAAAGACCGTCCAGTTTGTTTGGGCCAAACTTCACCTTAGATTGAAGTTAGTAACCAAACCATTTCCAGCCGGAAAAGTTTAAGGTAAGTTGATTACATGATGATCATAGTCGCAACCATCAGTCAAAAGAGAAGAAGAGGGGCAGAGAGAGATAGAGAGAGCGAGGCCAGTCAAAAAGGGTACCATATATGTGGCCGTGGAGCTTATTAAAAGATCAATAGCTATTTCTGTGTTATAAGATCGGGCACGTTTACACGTGACGGTGAGTGGCGTCACATGTTATCAAGATGCATTGTAAAATATGACTTACAAGGTCACTGACTTTTAAACTTGCAAAATATGCACGGGCAAAGCTTTAACAAGCGCTCGGGTGGGAATCAAATTGACCCTCTCCCCCGGGGTTTTTCCTGAATGGTTTCTGAACGGCGCAGAGTAGCCGCTTCAAATTTTTCAAAGCTTTAGACAATTAAATAGCGGATCGTGTCGTACCACAAAATAAGACGCACCTTGGAAGGTCGCTGACCCACCGCAGGTTAAAGTCAGGCCAAGGATTCAGCGGTCAATTTCTAGGGAATAGTTCAATCTGATGGAACAGCGGAGTGTTAGGCAAAGCAATACACCTCTGAGATACTTTGTCAGGCAACAAAACAACCAAATGACCAAATTCCACTGACTTTGGGTCACGTATGAAGGTCAGAGAAAGTTCAATACCAACAAGTTTTCTTACTCTAGGACGTACTGTATCAGGCAGGTTCTGGCGCTCATTTCCAATTCATTGATAACAAGAACCGCATTTAACGTCCTCCATGGACTTCTTTAAGGTTGTGATAGGCTACTGACCTAAAGTGACCCAGGTCGACATTTCGTTTTTAGTAGCATACCGCCTAACATAATCTTTGTCGCTTATTTAAGTGCAAAAATCAAAGCATCTACGATTTTGGTCACCACGACCTTCGAAAGGTCAAACAACGTCACTGACCTTAAATTAGCACCTGAACTTTTGCTTAGAACAAGTGTCTAGGTTCTGGGGATACTTTGGAGATCAACCTGGAGTTTGACCTTGTTTGACCTTATTTGGCCTATTCATGACCTAGGATCCTCAAAAATTTACCTTAAGGAGTTCACGAATAGGGCGTACCCTGTGAATTTGGTGTCCCTAGCCTTCTTAGTTTCTGAGATCTCGGGGAGGTCAAATTGCTCCCTCCCCCACCCCCACCCGAGCGAAGGGTATCTAGCCGGCCACCCGGGCGTGTGTTAAAAACGGTCACAACGCCGGGAGATTTTTGACATGTTTAATATGGATCACGTGCAATGCGCACTGGCTGCTATGGCTACTTTATGGTTGGCCTGTCAAATCGCGTCAGATTCTGCTAAATGTTAGTACCTGAGCATGTCCATAAAGTAGAAAAGCCTAGCTTGCGTGCACGTTGCAATGACTGGCCAAAAAACCTCAGAACTTGAACGATCTATCTAATGGCCCGGTATTACTTTAAAAAAAAAAACAGGAGACGTGTTTGCATCAACTGCCCTCACGTCATCCAGCATTTAACCGGACCTCGGTTATTGCGTACAAAGGCTGGGAAAACATGTTGATGGCGCCGCTGCGCCAATCTTGATGGGGTGTCAAAGCTGGTGCTTGGCTTACCTTTAAAATATTGGGTATATTAACCTGAGCTTGAACCAAATCTTATGATAAGTACCTCAGGAAAGGATTACACTATCACCATATTTTCATCGCCACAAACACGTTGACAGAGAACGTCAGCTAACCAGACCACAAAATCGTCAGACAACTGGACCAGTTGCTAAACCGGTAGCTTTACCTTCGACCACGTTTCCGGCCACCGGAAGACACTCACCTTTCCGTCGGGCAACTGGAGGAAGCCGTTGATGTCGGAGATCTCGGTCTTGCCAAACCTGCCCAGCCGTCCCTGCAGCTTTAGGCCGGTGAAGGTCCGGGCCATCTTCCAGAACTTGATGTGGCCCAGTCCTGCCGGCGGCGACGGGGCCGTCTCAGAGCCCGCACACGGCGTGGTGGCTGCGAGTGGAGACCGCACCGGCCGGGCTCGGCAGACCACACACCGCTGCTCAGAGCGGGCAGTCTCGCACGGCCAGACCAGATCCCAGAGCGGTCGGTATCAAAAGATCGGACCACAGGTCATGGAGGTCATGTTGAGCCGACAGAGCACTTAATTAGAGAGACAGTAGAGCTCAGTGGACAGAATGCCGAGGGCGGCGGTGGAAAGCTGACGTCTTTATGCCACAAAGACAATCGCATCGGACTTCATTGCATGCCCTTGACCGCATTTCTCATTGTTGGCGTCAAGCAATATTTTCCGCGTGATTGCGCGGCTTATTTATGCCGCTCATGCCCCTGCTTTCGAGAGAGAGACACTCCCACGGGGCGAAGGGAGCTCTCATTTCCCCGCGTTGAGAGCCCTTACGCGGCCTCACGTGGTGCCCACCTGCCGAGGTGAGCTGACCCGGGTGGAACGGCGAGAACGTGACCTTGTAGATGTCCTGCGAAAAGGCCTTGCAGCGGAGTAGGGTGCTCTCAGTCTCCCAATTCCACACGGTCAGCATGAAGTCCGGCTCGCCGCCTTGTGAGCACAGCAGCTCACCGTTCGCGCTGGCCGCGGGGGAGAGGGAAGTGATCAAAGGCGGCAGGTTCTGCCAGTCTCAGAAAAGCCAGTCTTGTAAGGTGTCAGTCAGAGTATTCACAGACTGGCGTCCAGCAACGAAATGCAGTGACAAAGGTGAAAACTAATGGAAATAGGTTTGACGCTACCAAACGGCGTTTTAACGTGTTGCATGTACATGTGCGCATGCACATCCGAATGCATTACGTGACGTCGCCTCAATGGTCATGACAGTTACGTTCATTTTTATGCGCAGATTTTTGACCGAACACATATTTCAAAACACGGAGTTGTATGTGAAAAAGATAAAACCGAATTCGCTGGGCAATGCCCGCGGATGGCGGCTTTCGGCGGTATTTCCTCAGCAAGCCGCAGCGGCAAACCGTACGGTGGCGGCGGCACCCTCACCTGAATGCTACGTAGGCGTACTCGCGCTCGGTACCGTCACGCAGCACTCGATACACGGTGCGCTCGGGCAGGAGGTAGACCAGAACGTTTGGCTTGTCTCCCTTCTCGGCTACAGCCATGTACTTGTAGCTCGGGTGGACCTGGCGCAATGTGCCGTGTATAGTGCTCGTCACAGAAGTTCGGGCGCGGCAGCCTGCATGAGTGGGCGGAAGATACGCTCTGGCGAGCTCGGCGGCAGCCACACCGACGTTCGCTGAGGTCGACGTTATATAAACTTTTGGCCTCTGGAAGATGCTTGCTCTGTTTTATTTTTCGGTGTTTTTTATGTGTTCTCCAGGTGTGCCAAGGGCTAAATGTTGTCAATGAGTTTTTTAGGAAGGAATTTTGAGAGGAATTTTTGGGTCCATTCTCTTCATAAAAGGCCATAGAACTGTTAATATTTTAGGTGCTGAGACGCAGCTGCATCCTCACTTTGTAAATCTGCATTTACGGCCATACCTACATGACGTAGCCCGCTGGTTTTGCTGCTCATCCCAGCCAACAGCATGCTCGGGCAAAAGTCGTGGGGGTTTGGAGAAAATTTGGGAAGCCCAAAGATTCCCCTACCTGAATTGGGCGGATTCGGCGGTTTCCCAAGCTTTTCCCAATCGAGCCCATGCCATTGTCTATCGCTTGGGAGAAGTTGGGATTTCCTCGAGCCTCTCCAACCGGCAGATTTGAGGTTTCCTCGGGGAAGTTATTTCTTGTGTGTAATTGCCGCGGGCAAATGCCCCACGGCGTCCTCGGCGGGGAACGCTAGAGATTGCTTGACCGGCAGTTTGGGGAAAAGTTGGCGAATCTCGATGGGGATCGGACAGTTTCCAGTGTGTCATTGCCATAGGCATTTGGGGGAACGATCTGGGCAACCCGCTCGGGGAAATATCTGGAAATGGTCCGTAACAGGGTGGGAACCCCACTATGGTGTCTCATTTTTATAACTGATCCCAAGCAGTGCCCAGGCGAAAAGTTGAAAACTCGCCTGGATATTCTTATTGAGATCGGACCGAAAATACCTGCTGCACCACAACAGAGCAGAGCACCAATTATCAATATTTTGCCTTCTCACCACCACATGCTTAGCAAACTTGCTTGCCGGGGCGTGTCAACCGGGGTACGCACAGAACACCATAGCCCTCTTACCATTCTGTGGCCATAGCGTGACTCATCCACGCAATACGTACCGCTTAGCGTAGCACGCCCAATGCACTGACAGCAAGCTGCTGTCAAAGGCGCGATCACCGCACACAGCAGGAGCAGGTCGCTTACCGTAGCGTGGCCGATGCCTCCGCCGGTGGAGCTGCGCATGTAAGTGATGGCCTTCGTCTCCAGGTCGAGGAAGTGGACCATATTGCCAGACACGAACATGGCCGTAGTGGGATTCAGCATGCACAGGTTGTCCGCCTTCAGGCAGTCGTAGCCGAACGAGTGACTTTAGATGGAAGTTAAAAAAACTTAAAGGAAAACTTGTGTCATCTTAAAAATATATGGGCACATCGCTTGGAACTACAACATCGTTGTCATCTTTCACCTGGGAGACAGGTGACGTCTCCAAGCCTGTCCGCGCGGAAATGTAAGTAGTACCTGCACTGTATACCGTATGCCTGCGTTTTGTTCGGGATGGCTGCTGTCAGTAACTTTACTCGCTGCACCTGAACACTGCTGCACGTTTAATGTATCCAGATACCTTCACGGACAACATTTCCTTAACGTAATGCACCCTTTACCATATGTTGCTGACCCATGCCCGGCCATTAGCCATCCATTGTCAGTTATGCCAAGCCGCTGACCACCCGTGTGCAGGTATTCAGGGTTTCAATTCTAAATTATAAAAGAGTTTCAAGAACGCTGACATCCAATCTTATTCGTTTCCGTTGATAGTTGTAAACGTAGTGTGAATGGAGCTAATCATGACTAAAAGAAGTGTGGGTAAAAGCCTTGTGTAGTATCTTTTTTTTAGAATTCCCCGATATTTCGCAAACATATTATTTACATCCGTGCCCTATCCCTACCCATACCCATATCCATGCTCACATTCATATTCATACTCACATTTATACTCATACCCATACTCATACTCATACCCATACTCATACTCATACCCATACTCATACTCTACTTATACTCATACTGGTCATACTCATGTTCATACCCACACCCATACCCATTTCCATGTCCAGTATTCGCAAAGTTGTAGCCAATCCATCCCATTACTTATATGACCTGGCTAACCACGGGCTCGCCCAACCCGTGAACCCTAACTGTGGTCTCACGTAAGCCCACGCTGCGTAAGGATACACGAAGATGAGCGCGTCCTCGTTGAGGGCGCAGTTCTCCGACAGACTGGGCCCCGACACGAACTGTTGTGTGTCGTACTCGGGGGGCACCCACACCGCCTCCTGTGGGACCGAGCGGAGCGAGGCTCGGCTGCGGCGGGACGTCCGGCTGCCGCTCGCCGACACCTGGGAACCCTGCGACGTCACAGATACACGCCGTCAGATTTTACACGTCAGGGGTACAGATCATCGCACGTCACAGATACACGCCGTCAGATTTTACACTTCAGAGGCACAGATCACAGCACGTCACAGATACAGACCGCCGTCAGCCCTACCATGTCAGAAGTACAGACCATCATCAGCCTTCACACGTCCAAAGAACAGAGTCACAGTACACGTTACCAATGCAGACCGCCGTCAGCCCTCGCACGTCAGAGGTACACACCGCCGTCAGTCCTCCAACATCAGAGGGACCGACCACCGTCATCCCTCAGACTTAAAAAGCGTGGACCACCTTCAGCCTCATTACTAACGCAACACTGAAGACATCCTTCAGTGTAAGCTGAGAGCGTTGGTGTCAGAGACAAGGGCCATAGTCAGCCCTGACGTCACAAACACAGCTAATTTTCCGCGCCGACGTCCATTGTACACCTTCTCACCAGCGCTGGCATCAGAGACATGGCTCACTGTCAGCTTAGACACCAGCGACGCGGTTTACCATCAGCTCTGACGTACATCCGACGTATACTCATTGGTAGCTGGCAGCTTACGTAAGGCTTCACTGCTTGGATTAAAGTAAGTGAAAGATGTAAAGTGCATGGCAATGATGCAATGACAAAATGTCATCCGGAGTAAGGATATAGCGAAGCAAAAGATCTGAACTCCCCGAAGCAATAATAACACGCACGTACCGTCTTCTCCGTAGAAGCAGCCTGGGACAGCCTCCCTCCTTCAGCGCCTTGAGCAGCGGACGTTTTGCTCCCCGTCGATTTCACTGCACTCGCCGTCGCCTTCGCCACGGGAGCACCACTGGCAGTCGTCTTCACCGCAGCCCCACTGGCAGTCGTTTTTACTGCAGCACCACTGGCAGTCGCCTTCGCTGCAGCACCACTGGCAGTCGCCTTCAATGCAGCCCCACTTGCAGTCGCCTCCATTGCAGCACCACTAGCAGTCGCCTTCACTGCAGCACCACTGGCAGAAGTCTTCATTGCAGCACCACTTGCAGTCGCCTTCACTGCAGCACCGCTGGCAGTCCCCTTTACTGCAGCACCACTGGCAGTCGTCTTCGTCGCAGCCCCACTTGCAGTCGCCTTCACTGCAGCACCACTAGCAGTCGCCTTCACTGCAGCACCGCTGGCAGTCGTCTTCACGGCAGCTTTGCTAGCTGCGTTCTGGGGAACGTCGCCCTCCGCCTTACTGGGAGCCTTCTTTACGCTGGCCCTGCTCCCCACACCGCTCGGCGGCTTCTTCTCGCTCACTCTGCTGCCCGCGCTTTTCACCTGATTCTGGCTGCCCGTCGTCTTGGTGCTGGCCACGCTGTCCGCTTTGGCAGTGTCTTCTTGACTGACAGAGCCAGACTTTTTCACGCTGGCCTTGCTACCCGGCTTGGATGCTTCCTCCTGGCTCCCAGCAGCGGACACTTTCTTCGGTGTCGCAGCATTACTGGAGCCGAGGTCTGTGTCCTGGCCCGCGGCAGACATCGCCTTCTTCACACTGGCATCACTCGACACAACTGACTTCACATTGGACCCACTGGGCGGCTTTCCCACACTTGCGTGGCCGCCCGACTTGGAAGTGGGCCCACTCGAACTCTTCTTAACGCTGCCGGAACTGGGCGACCCGGCCAGAGCGGCCGAGCCTGAGCCGCCACTACGGCTCTTCTTCGGCGTCGCTGTCGCACTGGACGTACTGCCTTTCTTGCTGGTTGATGCTGTTGACGTAACTGACGATCGGGCACCAGTGGGAGCCTGATCTGAAGCGGCTAGTTCGGAGGCTGCGGAAGACGCCAGCCCTGGTGCATCTGGAGCTACTCCACCCGAGTCCTCCCGCTTGGACCCTGAAGCGGCCTGGCCTTCTGTTGGCTCCGCCTCGTCTTCTTTATGATCAGACGATCTCTCCCCTTGCTTGGTTTCTTCTGCCTTTATTTCAGCAGGCAACTCCTTGTGTTCGGTTCCTTCCTCTGGTTTAGCTGGCGATTCGCCCAGTGGGGGTTCTGCCGGGACCTCAGCTGGTGCCATCTCTTCCTTGACTTCGTCCTTACTTTCAGCTGGCGCTTCGTCTTGCTTGAGCTCTTCCTTGAGTTCCACCGACGGCTCATCTTGCTTGGGCTCTTCAGCGGATTCGGTCGGTATGTTCTCTTCTCTGGGATCAGAGGCGGTCTTATCTTGCGTAAGCTCGGCGGGCGCTTCTTCTGCGGCAGCGTCTAGTGTTCGCTGCTCAGGAGCGAGCTCCGGTTGGTTGCCTGCAGGTCCGGGAGCGGGCTCGACCTCAGGAGCCTCTAGAGACGTCTCATGCTCGGTGGCCTGCGCCTCCGCCTCCCCAGGTTCCCGTGCCACGTCTCCGTCAGGAGCTGAGGGCGTCTCCGACTGTGGTTGGTCTCCTTCTGCAGCCGACATGCTCGCACCGCAGACTCAACGACCGCGATCAACGAGGCACACTGCGAGAAAAATGGGGGGGGGGGGATCGCATCATACGTCGTCAGTGCTTTGACGAAGCTTGTTTGCCCTGCAACGTCTGGTCTTAAGCGACCGAGTATGCTGGAAATAGGAAGTGAGACGCAGAGACGGTTAGGGTTTCAGTGATATAATGTTTTTGAAGCACAGAACGTTGCGGGAAAGGAAAGAACCAATCTTGGAAAGCACAAAAACACTGCTACGAAGCATATTTCAAGGTCTGGCACAAATGCGCCAGGTTAAACATACAATCACTGATTCTGAATAGCGTGCGACTTCTTGGCTTGTCATACGTAAAGCCGTAACAGCAGGTTCGGCGTTGTACAAACACGGTTCACAGCATGGTGTTCGAAATGATTATCAAGGGTATTAACACACTTAGTTTAATGGCAGGGTCTTCAAACAATATTTACCAATCCAACAAATCGTCATTAGATCAGGATTTCGTGTGCTTAGACAAAATATCTTATTCCCAAATCAGGTCTGAAGTAATGGCATTAAAAACGTATGACTCCGAGCGGTATGCAAAGCACAATGCACTGGTATGTCCGGCCGTGATCCGAATTTTCTTGGCGAATCAAGCAGGTAATTCAGAACTTTTGCACGTGCACGCGCTTAGGTAGACACCTTCAAGCTTTCTAAATCGGCGTTAAAATTAGATAACATGCCATTGATAAAGAAACGGGGCATTAAAGAGTAGGCATAGATGGCATCGGACTCTATCTTCAGTGAACGTCAATCGATAAAATTCAAGCGTAAAAACCCTATCGTGCGAAACGGAGGACTTCTGCTGCCCGAAGCATGCAAGCATAATGCATGACATTGCATGTTCATGCAATCCACAGCACGTAATAAGCTTTAAGTGGCGTTTTAACCCGTTGAGGCAAGTGCGATAAGTATGCAGTCATCTTCATTGGATAGAAACAAACATTAGCTGCTCTGAGGGACGGTTCTGCGCAGTTTTACAAAGCAGAAAATATCCGGTCCATCGGAGCCGTCCCAGTAACGTAACGGAATTTTGGCCATCTTCAACCCTCTCCCTCTTGGACACGAATTGGTCATGTTGGGCGAGACCTGCATTACCTCTGCATTTCGTGCGGCGGGGACTTTGACAACGGCGCAGTATTTTCGCTCTCACTGACCATTTGGTCCCTCATGCAGTGGGCATCACCGCACAAATTTTGGTCCGGAGCAACGTGGAATTAATCGCGTAACTTAAACGAGACACGTACCTTCTCGCTATACACGACCAGCGCCGCTAGCCATCTCAGGCCGCCGCCACCGCCGCTGCTGCTGACGTGCTGACGGCGGTGGCGGCATGTCTCGTTGCCATGGCGACCATGCACTGGGGCCGACTCCGCGGGCTGGCTGGCGTGTGGTCGGTCTGCCGCGGCACGCGATGGTCGCAGCTTTGGCTGCCCCGGTCACCAGCATGCGTGGGCTGCGGCCGGACGACATCCGCGCCATGGCGGCCCTGATGGACAGCACGATGGCCGGCTGGGCGGTCAGAGCTAGCCGGCTGCCCGGCACCAACTGCTGCCGTCTCTCCTGGTTCGGCGGTGGCGTGCCCCGCACTGCTCAACATTCTGCACCGTTGCGGACAAAATGGGGCCTACTCCTAAAAGTGGCCTTCCTGGGCGGTGTCGTTTTCAGGGGAGGGGGTACTGAGGGCATGTGTCCCGTTATCAAACTGCGACTTGTTTGATATCCAGGTAAGCAAATGTCGACAATTGACAAGTCCAGAATGGGGGTCTTCTAATTATCTTGCAAAGTGCATTCCTATCCTAAAGCAGGGCCTCCTTTTCCAGAAAAATGCCTCTTGATGCGGAGAGGCCTCGTAATCCAGAGCAGAATGCTCCCGGTTCACGACGGGGCCTCCGAATCTAACCAAGGGGCCTCGTTATCCCAACACAGGGCACCACGATCCGAAACTGCGGACATCTGGTGCATCACCTCCTGAACGTAGTGTGCCTCATACCCAGAACAACATCCAGAACAGCATTAATTCAAAGCAAAGTCTGGGGCCAGGGGGCCATGCTTCCACTTTCCAACTTGAGGGCCAGGAATGCTACCTGACCCCACTTAGCTCGATCAAAATTGCATTTACCCTACTTTTGTTCTACCTTAAACATTGATCCTGATTTCCCAAGCTCACCAGCCAGCTTTCTCAAGATGCGCCATCTCTTTCGTTTGCTCCTTGGCCATTGCTCAGTGTCACTCTCGGGCCGACGTCGCGCGGCCTACAGAGACTGCAGCGCCAGGCTTCGAGTTTGTTGTTGCCCGGAATGGCCCATCAGCCCTTGACCGGAACCTTAAAATGCTCTAATGTTCTACTCAACGGCTCACTTGCCCAGAAGCAAATGCGGAATCTCATTACTGTTGAAAAGAGCGGGTATAAATGAGTTCATTAAAGACCAAGGCCACCCCATGTTTACCTGAGACCGTTCATTGTTATGCAGAATGGATTAGTAAAAGAAATTACGTTAAAAGGTTTGAACATGAGCACCCACAATATCGAGAGCAGGGACGGTGATGGCGTGGGTTGCAGCTCCATAGAACAGAACGGCGTTGGCAAACTGCAAGTGGCAGCTGGCGGCGGGCGTCGTGTTAATCTGTTTTCCGGACAGGTTGTTACAGTAACATGAAAGCAGAAATTCTGGCTTTGCTGTTTCAGTTCCATCACCAGATCCCAGCACCGCTCCACGGTGCTGCAAGGACCAATCCGCTCTCTTCATCGACCTGAAAATGGCATAGGTCAAATGTACGCCTAGACTACGCTCTAAATGTAAGATTTCATGTCCTAAAGCGTTCATAGGTACTTATGAAGGTACTAACGAAATGTCGGGGAACGCAGTCGGAAAACTCCTAGCTGCGTTAGCTTGTCAAGTGAGTCATGAGTTATAACGCGTCTTAAGATGATGCGTTTCAAGGTAGCTAATGTTAACATTCGCTTTTACGTTCAACACCGGACATCACATTTTCGCGCAAGTTACGTCTAGAGCACTTCTCAACGCGCTCACTTTAAGATGCAAACCATTTTTCACTGCATTGAAAAACCCTGACCTCCAGGCTTTGCCAAAGCGTGTGATCACGAAAAGTACACCATCACGATTTATCCCTAATGTGCAAACTGCATGGAAAATCAGATGTCCGGACAAAGTCGAACGGAAAAAGTCCCATGGAAAACGTCGAACGACAAAAAGTCTATAGGGATCAAAATCGAACCTGAAAAGTTAAAGGATTAACGGTTGGCAGTGGCTGTTTTTAGGGTTTCATAATCCACACGCAGGTTCACTGCCGACACAGTCACACAGGAGACCCCGTCCGCTGTCCTGCGGCCACCATCCGTACCCGCTCCCCTACCTCTCCTCACCGTGAACCACCGGGGATACCGGAGCCGCCCGCCACTGCGAAGCCGACGTGTCAGGTGATGCTGCCACAGTTGAGACGCTTATTTTGCCGTGGTCTGTAAGTTCTTAGATAGCAGCTTACTCTGAAGGTTACCTTAAGATGCATCTGGTCCCATCCTGCCTCGTCTGCCAGCATCATGCTACGTCTAGTTCCTTCTGATATCGTCCTGTTCCGTCCCGTTTTGTCTGGCTCGGTTCGATTCTGTCTGATCGCATCTGCTGCCGTCCGATTCCTTCCGACCACGTCCGGTGACGTCCGATGCTATCTGATCGCATCTGCTGCCGTCCGATTCCTCCGACCACGTCCGGTGACGTCCGATGCCATTTGATCAGGTGCATCACGCGTGGTCTCGTCTGATGCTGCCCGGTTTGGTACGGTCCCGTCCCATCTGGTCCGATGTGGTCTCGTCCGGCTCCATCCGATCCGGTCTCATTTCGTCTGTTCTCGCTCGGTCCCTTCTGGTGTGATCAGGCCTCGTACGTTCCCGCCTGCTCATGTCCCGTCCTGTTCAGTCCTATCCAGTCTCACCTGTCTTTCCCATAGCCAGTTTTATCCACTTCTCATAGCAGGCGTCAATCGTGCTGATTTTCCTGATGTAAATCATTTTGACTATTGGTGTGTTTTTTCATATCCGATGTGATCTACAGCTCGACAAGGCCTGCCAATGTTCTGTCCTTCGGCTTATTTTCTTTCCTCTTTGATCCCTGCCGAATATTTGTCCTTTGGCTTCCCTGCTGTTTGATTTTCCTTTCCATCTTTTATCCTTTGGCTTCCTTTCCGACTCGACAACAATTTTGTACAAATGACATCAATTTTCCATATGCAGAACTTTCAGTTAAATGCGTTTGGAACACTATCCAAACCAGGCATCATGCGGCCGCGTAATCATCACCATTTAGATGCAGTGATTGCCGTGCATTTGGCAACTTGCATCATTCCTTCCTTTCATTTTCACAAAATCAGTGTGCGGTGCCAGCTCATTGGTGCCATTCAAAGGGAAGGAATACAAATGTAGGAACTCGCGAGATTGTGCTATCCAAAGCTCAGGTACTGTTTTGCAATGTAACGACGTAGTAAATACAACGCGTAGACTTATTGATAGAACTTGATGTTTTAGCAAAGTAGGCACGAACATGTTGAAATTAATGTAAACAGACTGGAAGAAGCAGTAGGCGAATGTGTTTTTTATTTGCTATTTTGTATCTCCAGTGAGGCCAAGTTGACAGCCCGGTATCTTAGCACGTGGCATCAAGGTTAAGAAGGTGAAGACGTTTTCAACACCGATCCTAGCGTTGCAAATGCCTGTGCTAAACAGTAAGCTAACTTACCCGCACCCAGCTTCCTTCGCATTACTCGCATTCCTTCCACACGGGTGAGCGGAACGACGCAAGGCCTTAAAGTAGCGGGGACCTATCCTGCGTTCGACCCGTCTCTACCGGAGATCATCTTAATGGAGGCTCGGAGAAACAATCCCACACACAAAGCTTGGCGAAGCGGTGAGCTGTCGGAAACTGCACTGTCCCCGTCAACTGCCAAGTACAGGAGTGGGCTTCGGAATCGAGCGGCATCCACCCTGACGTAATGGGCCACGAACGTAGTGTGGTGGACGTTCTTCGTTATAAATATTCGGTACGTAAGCCCGCCATGCCAACCCAACAAATATAAAAGGAGACTTTTCATCCTCCTTTAACCGCAATATTGAACTGTTATGTGCGTAAAAATATGCATTGCTCTTATTATGGCTCCTGCACTTTATTTCCACCATTCGCCACGTTTTTTTTTCTTTGACGACTGGAAAAAGTAAACGTCGAACCTGAGATGGACTACAAAACGTTAAGAACACATGTTCATAGTAATTAACTTGCCGTAGGAGGGTTTTGTATATGGCTTTACTTGGCCTAAGCTGGTCTTTCCGTGCAGCTAATCCGCAGCAGCCTGACTATGCTCGGCGTCATGTTGTATTCAACACAAATCATCCTGTATCAACACAAATCATTCAGCACGCATACAATGACGCCCGGAGTATCACCTGACTATAAATGAGGATGTGAGAAAATCCGTAAACGCACGTAATGAGCAGATGCACTAATGCGGCAAAGCAACGCACCAACCGCAACTGAAGTCTCACTGCACCGCCCCTACGGCTGGTGCCACGGCCGTGGCCTCCAAATCTGCCGTGGTCAAGAAGTGAAGCACTGACAAGGCAGGGGTAGCACCGTATTGGCAGACGGGCGGTGACGTTTCCCCCGGCCACACCAGGCACCGCTGGCTGGCTGACACCTCGACCGCAGAGGGCATGGCGCATACGACCTGGGTGGCCACATCGCCCGACCCAACGCTCAGAGCCAGGCAGCGCAGCAGCTCCCGCCGCCGGACGAAACTGGCGGGAACGCTCAGACATTGCATGGCCTACGGTCGGGTGGGAACTCGCGCTGACTGGGCGAGCCCTCAGGGCCGCCGGACGCTGACGGCCAGGGGACTGGAGACGGACGCTCAGTGGGCGGGCGAGCCCTCAGGGCCGCCGGACGCTGACGGCCAGGGGACTGGAGACGGACGCTCAGTGGGCGGGCGAGCCCTCAGGTGATGCCCGGACGCTGACGGCCGGGGGACTGGAGACGGACGCTCAGTGGGCGGGCGAGCCCTCAGGTGATGCCCGGACGCTGACGGCCAGGGGACTGGAGACGGACGCTCAGTGGGCGGGCGAGCCCTCAGGTGATGCCCGGACGCTGACGGCCGGGGGACTGGAGACGGACGCTCAGTGGGCGGGCGAGCCCTCAGGTGATGCCCGGACGCTGACGGCCGGGGGACTGGAGACGGACGCTCAGTGGGCGGGCGAGCCCTCAGGTGATGCCCGGACGCTGACGGCCAGGGGACTGGAGACGGACGCTCAGTGGGCGGGCGAGCCCTCAGGTGATGCCCACTGGAGACGGACGCTCAGTGGGCGGGCGAGCCCTCGGGTGATGCTCGGACGCTGGTGACCAGGGGACTGGAGACGGACGCTCAGTGGGCGGGCGAGCCCTCGGGTGATGCTCGGACGCTGGTGACCAGGAGACTGCAGACGCTCAGTGGGCGGGCGAGCCCTCGGGTGATGCTCGCACGGTGACCGCCAGCGGGACAGGGGAGCTACCGCTGGCGCGGCGCGCCTCCACGCCGCGCGAGCTCCTCTCACGCGAGCGCAGGTCCCGCGTGAACAGCTCCTTCTGGGAAAAGGTGCAACATGCGTCATGTACACTGCTGGGATAGATGAGGTGTAACCTCAAACAAGCGCCACTATGTTGGATTCAAAAACGCTGAGGAGCCGAAGGATTTTAACGTCGCGCATTCGACGAACTGTCAAGCACATACCTACGCACATCGAAATAAACAACATCTTAACACTCATCGCAAAGATACAAGACAGTCATCCCAAATTGTGTGTTTTTGTGCGTTCTGTCTGTTGTTTCTGTACGTTCTGACACAGCCGACACAGCTCACGACAGCTTTCATGCGGTGTCAATATTTTTTTCCGGATGGGCAAGCAGATCTAGGGTTTTTAAGGAATCTGGGGGCCTCTTAGCCCATTACCAATCTAAAAATTTGCCCTTCGTTTCTCGTCCACCTTTTCAAAGGTACCTTTTAGGCATACATAGCAGAATAAGATTTCCTTTCGGCTCAGTGGGGCTTCCCGTCTTTATCAACGGGCCCTCCTCCTGGACTGTCGGAACTTCCCTCTTCGATCATCTGGGTCCTCCGATCGACCGACAGTCCCCAATGGAGATCATCTAGATCCTCATACGAGGCCGATATTGTCCCCAGCGGGCTCTCCTTTTGGTGTTTATCAACAGGGATCTTTGCCGTCATAATGGTGCCTCCTGGAATTTCAACGGGGCAAACACATATGCTTCCCCTCTGGTAAACGGCAAGAGGACGGCTGCTCCTTGCCTCCCGCAGCACCGCCCTGGTCTTATGGCGTGCGAGCTAAAGACATCTATAATTCCAAGAGTCAGCGACATCCAGATTGGACAACGGCAACCCTACATCCCGTATGGTATCTGTTTTCCTGTACCAACAAAAGTTTAATAAGCCACGGCGGAGAACAGCATCTTTGTACGCCATGGCGGAGAACAGCAGCCTTGTAAGCCATTGCGGAGAACAGCAGCTTTGTAAGTCATCGCGGAGAACAGCAGCTTTGTAATCCACGGCGGAGAACAGCAGCTTTGTAAGCCATGGCGGAGAACAGCAGCTTTGTAAGTCATCGCGCAAAACAGCAGCTTTGTCGGCCATGGCAGAGAGCAGCTACATTTAGTGGCGACGGTGCCCGTATGCGCATCCCCACACCTGAACACAAACAACCGCTGAAGCTCCCCACCCCTGCCATCCGTCAGGCATGCAGGCGAGGTGAGGCTTCGGGCTCCAAAGTCGAATCTGAGGCCAAGGTAGCCATACGACGCCGGAGTCGCAGCTCACGCCGGTGGCTTTGAGATCGCTTTTTCGCATTTGGAAATGCAAAGCCTATGGTTTCGAATTTTGATAGCCTGAAGTCCAGTCGAAGTCAGCAACCTCCAATTTAGACACGGGAAGCCAGAGTTGAAACCATCACTTGAAAATCACGAGGGCAAAGCCATGTCACGTCATTAGTGCTTTTGCGACGCACTCAGCTGCTGAGGCTATATGGCGTCGCCTGCCTCTTACCCTGGCAGGAAGGGCGGGCACCACGGGGAATCGAACCCCGTACCTCTGATTTCCCACACGCGAAGTCGTTAACGCATACGTCTTAACCACTACACTACCGGCACCCCACCAGGGCAAAGCCAAAGCCGAATCTAGGAAAAGAGGAAACCTTGTTTGCATAAACAAGTATCTGTTAAAACCGCATGCGAACAGAAGCCATCAAGGCCTTAAGGTGCAAATGAAATGAGGCGTGTTGGCATTCTGGATGAAACAGTTTTTCGGACATTCCTCATCAACGTATGCTAGTAAGTTCACCACATTCAGACTGCTGTTTCTCTGGCCCTCGTCAGCTGTCAGCTGATCCTGCGAATGGACGGCTGATTTTTGTCTTTCAGCCATGGAAGCGTGACAGCCTAAAAAAGTTATGTGTATTGGGGTGGCAGACGGGTAAAACACTTTTCGGGAAACCAAGTCCTAACTGCAGTGACCAAATGCGAGAAAGCCGAGGTCAGCAACTGCAACGGGATCTTGTCAAGCCAAAGCCAGAGCCATCACTCAAAAACAGTCTACAGCCGAAGCCGTTAAAGCTGTTAAAGCCGTTAAGCCGTTAAGCTGTTAAAATGTTGCAAAATTAGCAACGACGTCGAAGGCAACTGCTAAAAATGGCAGGAAGCTGAAACCACCCATCGAGAGTGGCTCACAGCCGAATACAAGACTGGAGCGATCGTGATAAAACTGCGGCTTCGCTAGCCGAGGTCGAAGCCGAAGCTGGTCCCCATGCCTGCCTCCCCACTCACGGGACCAGAGCGGCCACCACCACGGACCTTGCCGACGGGCGGCGGCGGCGGCGGCGCGCGGTCCCGAGCCTCCTCGGGCGCCGGAGAGCGGCCAGCCGCGCCTGTCGAGCGCTGGGCGTCGCGCATCGCCTTGATGAGGATGGCCGGCCGCGGCAGCAGGTCGGCCGGCGGCCGGGGACGCTCCGTCACGCGCACCGCGCTGGCCACCGCGCCCGCCGGCGTCGCCGCCTCCTCCTCGTCCTCGGCCGCCGGAGGACGCGAGAGGACGGCGCCCACGGTCGACTGCGGTCCGCGCCGACCGGAGCGGCTCTGCCGTGCGGCGAGGTCGCGGGTCAGGCGCCAAACACGGCAACGGACGAGTCCCCGTCTACACAGACAACCCACCCAGCCAGGTCAACATGGCATTCCTCATCACGCTCAGGATCAAACACGATGAAAGACATTTCGCAACTGCCACCCCAGAGGCAAGAGAACCAAACGAATGTACATCGCACAGCAGGTTCGACCACACACAAAATTTGCCCCGCGCAGGAACGTCACATGCAGGCTCCGCAATGTCAGAAGCATAACCCCTCCACGGAAGACGGAGAAAGAACGGGTGTTTAACAAGCATGCATTCACCACCCATTGCTAGGTGGATCTTCCACCCCGCGGTGGTGTTTCCACCAGGGATCAGCATCGATGACACAACACTACAGCTCGCTTCCTTGACATCACTTCCCCTGCAGAGCAAGACAGCCAGATCAAACTCCTCCGCCACACATCGGACAACGAACCAGCCATACCTTGGACGGTGCGTCGTCCCCCGCGGCGCGACGAACCGGAGACCGCGAGCGTGAACGGCGCGGGGCGGCGAAGGACGACTCCTCGCGCAGGTTAATCACCCGGCCGCCAGGCATCGCTGTCGAGGCGGGCGATGGCACCCCGTCCGCCGCCGCGCGCCCTGGCGAGCAGGGCACAGGTCCCACTGCGGCGTACTCAGCGGAGACGGACGTGTGGGCAGCATGGTACCGCACCGTCGCGCCTGTCGTGTCGCCTCCGCGCGCAACGCTAGACCGTCAATCCGACATAAAGAGCAAGTATTTCTGAAAACGAAGGTCGCTTAGAACGTCGCTGTCTTTCAGCGTTACAGCACAAAGAACCAAGACATGGCCACAGCCTAGCGTCGAGCAGCCCAGGACTACCGCCACTGTACCTGCAGGGCCGCCGTTCCTGGCACTGTGGTGCGCGCCCCCGCTGTCGTCCGAGGGGAACGAAATGCGCGGGTGTCGCCGACCGGGCGGCTCCTCCGCTCCCCTCCGGTCACCAGGTGTGATGGGCTCACTGATCTCGTCACCGTCACGTGACTCTGTCTCGCCGGCCCTGCCAGAGACGTGCCGGGACGAGGGCCGGTCACGCGACTTGCCTGGCTCGCCAGATTCGTCTGAAGCATGCCGAGACTTCGGACGGTCACGCGATACGGAGTCGCCGAACTCTTTAAAGGTGTTCCGGAATTTGGGAGGGTCACGTGACTCGGGCTCGCCGGATTCGTCTGAGCTGTGACGGGACTTCGGACGGTCCCGTGACGGAGATCGGCCGCATTCGTTGAACGTGTTGCGAAACTTGGGGCGATCACGTGATGAGATCTTGCCAGGTTCGTTAGAGGCGCCGCGAGAGTTGGACCAGTCACGTGTCTCAGAGCTGTCACGTGACGCCTCTCTGGACCGGGCGCAAGGGAGGGGTGGGTCGGAAGGGACGTCGGGCTTTGACTCCTTTGGCAAAGGTGATGACACTTGTTTTGATTTGGAGGTCTGCCCTTTCTCACTTTCTCTTCGACTTTTCTTTTCATTTTCAGGTTGAGATAATGAGGATGACCGTTTTCTCTCCTTCGTTTCGGCCGTATCTTGCAGTGGTGTTTTGGTAGACGCTGTCTTAGTCTTTTCTGAAATAAGAGATATTCATGTTTACGCACACAACCGTGAGGAGTCGTGCCCACTAAACATGGTTAACTTCAAGATGGGACAGTATTAATAGCTTTATTCCTCATAGAATAAACAGGATAATGGAGAGATGGATGTAATGTTTCGGCTAGATTGGTCTATCAACATGAATATTTGTATTCATCTTGATGCAGGCATGAATCAGAAATATCACATCTATCTCTCCATTCTCTTGGAGAGTGGAAAGATAGATGGAGATAGTTTGTTTGTTATACATGGAATAGGGCTATTAATACTGACTCCTCTACATGCAAAATGTTCCTCACTGGCTTCATGAGGCCAGTGAGGACCATTTTGGGGACCTTTGGGGTACTTTTGGGGACCTCACCAACAGGAGCACCACAGGGCCTGGCCTGTTTCCTCACTTAACTGCTAACTCCAGTCTGTACATCTGAAGTTCCAAGAAGTGAAATAAAAACGACCAACCATAGCAGTAGCAAGTTAGTTATGCCAAAGCTCCCATTTGCCAGCATCCATAAAACATATTCTGCTGGTCATCACCATAAAACATTCACCTTTTGCCTGGACACTCATGGCCTGAAGTCGGCCAAGGATCTCCTGAAGCCACTCCACAAATGCCTTTGTGTGTTCGAGCAGGAAAAGAGACAGATCATCCTCCATCTGCTTCTTGGATTTCTTGTTTACCACCAGCACCATGACATAGTCTGGAAGTTCTTCATCTGGTGGACAGCAGAATGAAAATCAATCAAAACACTGCATAGATGGCTTGTACCACAACCTAATTTGCCGAGTACTGATCAACTACCACTACTTGTGTGATCTTTTATGAGGTAGCTATGCTTTATGTTCACTCTTCACATTAAAGGAGTCTCAATTACTATTATAATCATGAAGTCTCACCATCACCAGTGAGGGAAGCCTCAGACATTTAAATCAATGTGCTTAACATGATATGCCTTGCCAATGCTAACCTCCAGCTCCACATGGAACAAAATAGGAAAGCCTCACCACCAACAATGAGAGAAGCTTCAGAGGTTCACATCAATATGCACAAGATGATGGGCCTTACCAATGGTAACCCCCAGCTCAACTAGCTTGGCTTGGATTGCTTTCTTTATCTTCTGGCTGATTTCAGACCTCAAGCCTTCCATTATGTATGCACTCTAATAGTCAATCTATTTCAGCAGACCTGAAATCAGAAGGTTCTTTCTTGCTGGAGGGCAGAGGTTGATAACTATTGTTACTACATGGCAAACAGGACTTTATTATCAGTTCTCACAAATACACATAGGGGCATTGGGCCTGACAAACGGGTGGGTCAACAATGCTTGGAAAAAGGGTATTGGACAAAATTGCTCGGACAAAATTGCTTGGAAATTTTAAAAATAGTATTAGGACCCATTAGACATGGAATTGAACAATAAACAGTGATAAGTAACAGTAATCAATGGCCACACATTGGTACATCTGAAGGTACCTGGCATCATCCTAGATTAACTTTTTTGCAGCACTGTCATACCTACCACAATGAACCAGAATGTAAGCTTGAAAAACAGGATAGTAGTAACTGTGTGATGGACACAAAGGGACACAGGGTGAAGGACAAAACATGATTGATGTTTGCCTATACTAATTTATCAGAATAAATATAAATTTAAAAGTTATTACTTTATCAAATCCTAATCAAGCAATGATCTACTTATTCATCTAAACATATCACTTTATTAGCTATTTGCATCCTATCCCAACTCATAAACTGTTTATTAGCTTGCCAGTTACTTAATGCAAATCATATTCATACTGTACCTTCCACAGGTACATTATTGTATGCATTTGCCCCCACAAAAAGCAGTAAAAAGACATTGGGGATGTGTGCAGTAGCATGGTAACATTACTTGGGTCAGTCGCACATGATATCTGTTTTGTTGGCAGAACTACTTTTTGTACTCATAGTATACATCCCCTTAACATTTATGTTCCAGCATTCACATTGCACACCACTAAATCTCAAGGGTCAATCGTTCCTGTGGCATTTAATAGATATAATACTAAAGTTTTAAAATGTATGGCACGCAGGTGCATTCCCAATAATGGATAAAAACACGTCCATTCTCTCGAAGCAGTGACACTTTGTTGTCGACCTTGTGTTGTTTGTTACTTGTTCCATTGCAAATAACGTTAATAAACAACAAAACAAAACTACGATGCAGAAAATCTTCCAATGGGTTATGTCATACGTACCACAATTTTGCAGAATAAAAGCTTGACAACTGCTAAACTAGCGCTGCCTCCTCCACCCAACCAACGGGAGCCCCGACGCCTTTGCGGTGTTCACACTTCACACACTCGGAATGTCTGTCATGCGCCAAAATCAATGCAATGAGGCTATGACTTAACCGCTGTTCTGTTACAATTTATGCCGAACACGTTACCCTCTAAGTATTCAGCTCATTTTCGAACAAGTTTTGTTACTTTTTCAATAGTTTCATGCGCTGTTACGAATAAGGTAACCTCAGATCACCATGGAAACTTTCATTTCAGTGCAGCTTGTGAACTTCCATGGACAGGTGGGCGTCAGATTGTAAAGTTCGTCTATGCTACACGCCCAACAAAAACTTTGTCATTTGGCTTGCAGCAGCCTGGGCCTTCCACCTCAAACGAGACGGCGACACGCTGGCCGGACGCGCCGCTGCGATGTGTTCCGAACGTTAAACGCAACAGGTTAAACACCGCCTGCTACACCATTGTTGCATGCAGCCTGGTTGGCCAACTATTCATTCACCGTAGAACAACCTCGGTACCATGCACGAGAGCATAGGCGTAGGAACGTTTCAAAAAGTGGGGGGGGGGGGGGCAAGCTCACGGCGTACTTCAGGAACTTTTTCTGGAACGTAAGCCTGATGACCGCGGGGTGAAGATGGAGGTTGTCTTCGCTCTTTATTCAGATGTAATGGCTGTTATTCTAGGTGTGCATCTAGAGGTGTTTCTCACTGGTACACAATCTTGCCTATTCGACTCATCTATGTCATTCGGCAGACAAGGCTATCCAGCTTTCCAAGATTATTTGTCCATTTCAACGTTGTCTTTCCTGGAGAGGCAAAATTCCACGAGCGGGTAGGCAGTTTAGGTTAATGAGGCGTCTGCCTCCACAGGGTAGATGCCAAAATACGGCTCGGACATAGGTTGGTTCGAATTTTGAACGTGAATCGATGGCTCATAATGCAACATATTTTTCATGTGCCTTCATTTCGCTGGCTGCTTTTCAAGAGATAAGACTTGTCGCAGCATTGTATGTGGAAACAAATTCGGAAGCTTGAAACTGCCAAAAACAGTGTGACAAAAGCCATAAAACTGGACAGTCTTCTTTGAAAATCCAGCCACAGAATGAAGGTCCTTCTGCCATATATTCCTTATCTGAGCCCTGCTTCCGTCCGCCGTCGGCGGGCACTGTCCTGGCCCGGCTGTCTCCTGAATGACTGCGAACTGATAGTATGGCTGCTTTGCTGCACATTTCTGGGCCAGCATTACTGTTAATTGATGTGTAAAGCATATGTTGGAAACCTGCAACAGTATCTTTTACCGCCTTATCTTCCCTTACACCTCACCACCGTAGAAAAAGCCTCCGGGAAGCTGTTTGGTATGAATAGGCCAAACGGACATTTGTCAATCCTTCAACGTAGACGACTTGATCTGCTTTTGTGTGTAGGCAGGGGCGTAGCCAGAGCCTACAGGGTTGAAAAGCCCTTCTTATGGCGACCCCCCTCCCCCCAGAAAAAAAAATCCGGATGTAGCTCACTTGTTCTCAAGAGATATGGCTTGCCTCGCTTTATTGTTATTTTTATATTGTAATCAGAACAGAAACGAACAGCTACCGTCAGATCAATTCTGTTTGTATTTTGAAGTCAATAAACTGTCGTAATCATGGGTTGAACGACCGCGTGGATTAAATCACTGGCGCCATTAATTTGCATTGGTTTAGTAGACTCTCTGAAAACCGGCAGAACTCAGGCTTCGTGAGAATTTTCATCCGGGTTCTACGGACATTGAGGACATTGCGAAGGCAAACGGTGATCGGTATGCTTGTTCAAAGTTTGAAAATGAAAATTGGAATGCAGATGGAGTAGTCAACAATGTGTATTAACATGACTAAGCCATGTTTGTCTGGAAATATTAAACACTCAGTCAGAATCGATAAGTGATACGATCTATGTAACGCGGTTTTTTAACATGGGCGCTCGCGAATCTCAGCAACAAAAATCTCGCCATCAGGCGTTGCAGTCTCCATAGTCTGTGGAGCGCTGGTCCAGTGGCTAACTTTTGGCCGTGGCCAGCCGGTGAACGAAAATGACGATGATTCTGAAATCAATGCCTTTGAAACTTCAATCCATAAAGAATACAAAGCATGTGACACAATTTTGAGCATGCGCACTCGCAAATCTAAGGAACAAAAACCTGGACGCCAGGCGTTGCAGTCTCCGTACGCCGTGCAGCGTCGGTTCAGCAGCTGGGACTGAGTCGTGCCCAACGGGTGGACGAAAATAATGTCGTGTTTGACAAATTACCTTTAAACGCTTTAGTATAACAAATCTGGCATTGAGGAGGCAGTCTGGGGACTTATTTCACGTGTGTGATATTTAGACTGATGATAAGAGCGGACTGGCCCTTAAAGCACCGCGAGACGGCGCTGGAATCTGGTGATGGAACTGGAAGAGTAGAGGCAGAATCTCAGTTTTTCGTGTTCCTTTAACTGTTAATTTGTCCAGAAAAACAAATAAACACGGCGCCCGCCGTCTGGTGGCACTTGCAGTGGCGGACACCGTTCGGTTTTACGGAAGCTGCAACTCGGGCCATTGCTGTCCTTGCTCTCGAGGCTGCGGGCGGGCACGTTCAAACCTTTTCATGTAATTCGTTTAACTATTCCATTCCGAAAAATATACGTTCTCAGGCAAACATGGGATGGCCTTGTTGGCTATATCTGTACTTATTTCGACCCACTATATTCAACAACAATGAGACCCCAACTCTACTTTACAATAACGAGACCCCTTATTTTCTTGCAGGCAAGGGAAGTTAAGTGGAACACCAGGCGCACATTACCGTTCGCGGTCAAGGGCTGAAGGACCACTCCGTCCCATCGTGAAGTGTCTTCTGGCTGTCATTCTGGCGACACGGGGCGGGATCTCCTAATCGATCCGGAGGCCACTAGAAGGATATGTCGCATCACGTTGTTCCCCTCCCTGACATGGGGACCTTCTGACCCGCGCAGTCGGCTCCGGATCTGTACAGGAACCCTCACTGACGCAACAATATTCCTGATCGCCGCAGGTAGTTTAATAATTGTCACATAGACCACAGTTCCAAATTTGTCTGTCCTCTTCTGAGATATTGGGGGCTCCCTGAACGTAGATTGTAGATGAAATGGAGACCCAAATTTGTATTCACGTGGCTAATTTGGGTTCGTTTTGAAATGTTCAAGATGCAGGCAGAATTTATTACTGATAAAAAATCATGTAATACGGTTGTGAACATGCGTGCTCGCAAGTCATAGCAACAACAGCCTCGCCACCCGGCGTAGCAGTCTCCATAGGCCGCGCGGCGTCGGTCTTGTGTCCGTGACGCTAAGCGGTGGCCAATGAGCAAACGAAAAAAGGTGACGCATCTTGAAGAAGATGGCTGGGGAACTAGGCAACTCGGCATGTATGTTAAATATTGTGCTAAAATAAGCTAAACACGACCTTAATCTGAAAAGTGGGGGGGGGGGGGGCAGTCAACACTGCTGACCCCCACCTTAAAAACAGGGGCAGCAGGCCATGGGCCCCTGCCCCCCCCCCCCCCCCCCCACCTGTTTCAACACCCATACACGAAGGAAGAAAAGATACAAGATAATCATGTGTGTGTTAAAATACGACTGACGGATAAATTTGGAAGCTACGTGCACTTTGCACTTTGAACAAGCATTAGGCAAAAAGCACAAAATCAAATAAGACTGACTCCACCTTCCCAAGGCCGTGACCCCTCTGAGTGTGTGTCATTGGAGCTTTGCGGCGCGCTCAACTGCTGAGACTACATGGCGTCGCCTGCATCTCACCCTGACAAGAAGGGAGGGGGCCGCGAGGAAATGGCATTCTTGAGCTCAATGGTCAACACCCTCGGACCCACCCTGCAGAGAAGCCAGGTGGCGTTAGCACTCCACACCGTGCGGTGCGGAGCGTTCCAATAGACGCGCGACGAGGCTGGCGGTCGCCTGGCGGTTGCAGCGCCCTGTCCGCCCCCTGGCGGCCGCACCGGCCACGGCTCCTCTCGCTACCTGCTGGCGGCGCCGCGAATTGCGTAGCAAGCTAATCGGAGCCGTTCAGTCGCGCCGTGGCCTAGATATTGTATTGTAGTGGCCACATTGGTGGTACCAATACGAATTCTTGTACTGTTATCTTAAAAAAACTCGTCATCCATTTGTGGTGTGCGATTCCCCTAGCCATTCATGACTTTGGGTCATCGATGACCTCATCTGTCATGACCCCATGATCATGCCATGACCCCCATCAGGTCATCATCAATGACCTGCTATTGGCATGTTTATCACATTTTGGGATAGGAACTTCGTATTGCCGATGCAATCAAACAAGACATTTCAGCATCGCAGGTCTCCATTGACCCTTTTCTGGCTTTACAGTGAGCTCTCAGTAGTGTATCTATTTAGTTTTTAACCAATCAAAAGTGCCTTCTGTTGACGGACAATTTATATTCCTGAACTACAGAAACACGCTCGCCGAGACTATTTTCTATCACACGGAATTATCTGTTCACAGCGGCAAGATAGGTGCAGCAGCCGTTGGTTTGGAGTTCTGACTCGCCGGATGTCTTCCAGACTTGAACACGTGTGTGCGTTAGTGTCCTGTGCAGAAGTGTATGCTATCAAATAAGTACTGTTACATATCGGACTCAAACGTATTCCTCAGGCTACTGCATGCGCTGACTCCAAAGCATTACCGCAGACCCTTGAGCGACTCGATGATTTCAGACACCCGGGAGTGCATGACATTTATGACATAGTGTTTTTTTCTGTCCTCCGACAAGCACGTGACCTTTCTATGAATATCGGGACACTGTGGCATCGTGGGAAATGTCCTCGCCGATGCCCTAGTGAATACAGGCATCCGTCTACCAACGTCTCTGGCAGTGTCTTTGGCACTAGGGGATGTTCTTCCTTTAACGAAAGTTTGTTTCGTTTAGTATTTTCAGAATCGGTGGAATATTTCACGCGCCAGCCAAGCGTATCGAATCAAACCTATCCTCCAACTAGCCTTGCCTCCAACCATTGGCGACATGTTGCCAAGACAAGCAGAGAGCAGTGGTCGCAGTGTGTTTGTGATGTTGTCATCCTCGTCTCACCCACAGTCACCTGTTCAGTCGCCATTCATGTCCAGTTATCATTTCATGGGATAGCCATGGGAGGGCGTCGCAGCCGTGTTGAAACTTGCAGAAACCGCTGCCCTGAGCTTCAAACGATAGTCACCATGCGACTCGTAGTTGTATGCCCTCAGGAGTTGGCCCAAATATAGCGACTTGGCGACCTCCAGCCAGTGGTCACCATGACGACCTTCGATGAGAGGAGGAGAGGGAAAATGGAAACCATAGCAGATATTGCAACCGTCTCCGATTTCATTAGCTACCAGTCGGATCGTCGCGACCTTCTACCGTTTGACTATCGGGGAGCATGACTATATCAGCTGCTAGGAACTCTGCAACCCCAGGTCACCATAGTGGCTTACGTTTTGTGTGGGTAGCCATGGAACCATGGAACCATACCATACTATCGATCCAAGCAATTCTAATAAAATGGTAACCGTCTCCGATCTCAGAAACTCCCGGTCCCCTTTAAGAACAGCGTTCATCACATGACCACCAATGTGACTTTTTTCATTAAGGTGGCCTTAATAATGCTAGCGGTTACATTGCTTCGCCCGCTTTAGAATGCGGTGGTGGTAGTTGACATAGTTGATTTGGAACTAAAATCGGTTCATAACTGATAGCTTTGCCTGCGATTTCATGTGACAAGTTGCATTATCTGTAAAGTCGGGCCATGCTCTCCACTACACTTAATCCGCTACCCTTGCCACCATGAAGGAGACCACCGTAGCGACCCGAGGTGCATTCTTTCACGATAGCTGACGAACTATTGTGCTGAGAAGCGATTGATAAAAGTATATGCCAAAAGGGCCAGCAGATATGTAGACTGGCACAGGTTAGAGTGCCTTCCGTGACTGCTTTCTCAAATGCAGGTTACTATGTAGAGCTGACGTCACCAGACTTACCAGACTCACACGAGACCCACCCACGTTGCACCAAATAACATGGCCCAAATCGCCAAATTATATGTGGACGTGATATTACAGTCGTGGGTAAGATTCCCACCCACGCGCCGGAGATGTGACGAGAGCGCGTAGTGCGCCGCTCTGATGTGTCCGCTCGTGCTACTAGAGCAGCTGCCGTCGAGCAGCTACAGCTGCCCCGTGTCCGCATTGAGTTTTGAAGCCAGTCGTTCATGTCTCGCTCATCTAGCAAATGGAACTCGCTGCCTGTGGACGTGTGGGCGTCAGCGGTCGCGAGTAACGCGACCTAGGATCTTTACAGGTTTAACGAACGCTCGGGTGGAAGTCAAATTGACCCCCGAAGGTTTTTCCAGAATGGTTTCCGAACGGCGCGGCGTAGCCGCTCCAAATTTTGAACCGTTGTAGACAATTGACTAGCGGGTGGTTTGGCATCAAAAATTGAGATGTACCTTGTAAGGTCGCTGACCTATGGCAGGCCAAAGTCAGGCCATGGTTTCAGCGAAGGCAATTTCTAGGAAATCCTTCAATGTGATCCAACAACGGCATGTTAGGCGAAGCCATACATATCTGAGATGCTTTTTAGGCAATGCAACAGTTGAATGAGCAAATTTCATTGACCTAAGGTCAGGTATGAAAGTCATACCAAGGTCAAAACCAGCCTGTCTGTTACTCTAGGGGTTTGCTGTATGGGATAGTTTCTGGTGCTCCTTTCGAGTTTATTGATAGCAGGAACCGCATTATGTATCTTCCATGAACTGCTTTAGAGGTCAGAATAGGTCATTGACCTAAAAGGACCTATGTCAACATTTTGTTTTGGGAGCGTGCTGCGTAGCGTAATCTTTGTCGCTTAGTCAAATGCAAAACTCAAAGCAATCTTGTATGATTTTGGCCACCTTGACGTTCCAAAGACCGACCAAGGTCACTGGCCTTAAATGGGAATGTGACCTTTTGCTTAGAAACAGTGATCTACGTTCTGGGGGCACTTTGGAGACCAACCTGGAACTTGACTTTGTTTGAACTTTTTGACCCGAATTTCATGATCTAGAAATCTGAAACGTTGACCTAAGAGATTTCACGTACAGTTCAACACACCCTGTAAATTTGGTATCTCTGGCTTGCTTAGTTCCCGAGATCTCAGGGGGTCAATTTGACTCTCCTGAGATTGCCCCCCTCGCCCCCCCCCCCACCCGAGCGAAGGGCATCTAGCCGGCCACCCGAGCGCGTGTTAACGTAGGATTGTGCGTTGCTGGTAGTGTCTGAGCGACATATAGGCCTTTATTGATCCAGGAGGCCCCTGATTAGCGCGCAGGGCCCTCTGACTGGCATTGGAGTGCCTTGCCCATGACATTGGATTGCCCTGCCTCCCCTGCCTAAGACTTTTTACGAGAACGGCAAGGCATCTCAAATTCAAACACGGTTATTTGAACCAATATCCGAACACTTAAAAAAGTTCCCACATTTCCTCGTTGTTTTCGATTGCATCAATATCACGTACATTCAGCACTATGAGGTATTTGTCTCCGAATGAACCCTTGTTAAGCCCGAACTTTGCCACAAATATAACAGTGGAAAGGCACTCTCACGTCTTTAGTCTTACCACGTTTTAAAATCTGCGTTAGGAAAAGCACGATGCGATATCCGTTGGAGCAGCAGCGGTAATGATTGCTCTAGCTGTGCGCTTTATAGTGGTATTGCTGTGTCATGAAGTTAGCGTATGCACACGCGACTATCACGGTATGACGTGATAAGAACAATGTTGCGGCGCTCACGATGTTGTGCCATGGAAATAATTTAGCCCAAAAGTACGGTAAAGTAGGGCGATCCTTAACCACTTCGATCGTTTGTGATATTGGCTGCGTCATTTGCAGGTGTTGCCAGGATAAGACTACCAAAACAAAACAATTGTATTGCGATGTCCTTCTCGTTTATAGTCATGGATAACCGCTAACGTCACCTCGTTGCACCACATAACGATCCCACAAAGAAAACATCATGACAAATGCACCTTAAATAAAATTATGTATGGTATCGTATCATCCAGTAACGAAATTCATTGCATTCAAGCTTCCCGGTTCATCCAATGGCAACTTGCTTGATACCTCAAGAGTCGCTCGAAAGCAAAATATGCTGGCGAGCAGACAACATGCATCGCACGTACGACAATGACAGTACAGCCCTGCCGTGGGTATCATCATACGCATTAGTAATTCGACACGAATGAGGCATCACATGTTGACAACCTTCAATGCTATCATCGTTTTCACCTAAATAACACCAGCCGCGGCAAGCGCACGGCGATCGCCCACAGACAAACCGCAACATGAAGCATCCGCAGTCTGTCAGCCATCCCTATCGGTTCCAAACGCCCCATTCGTCCTCACGTCCCGCCGAATATCACATAACTCGGCAGGGGGCGTGTGACCCGAGCGTGACCCGAGCTGGCGACGGTCTCCAGGCGACACTGGCCGCTCCGTCGGCAGACGACCTCAGTTGCCGGCGCGTGGTCCCTCTGCATCACCAGCCTCGTGAGCGGCCGCCGTCACCACCGCCGCCGACGCATCACTCGGCGTACGGCAGAAGCACGAGCATCGCGACGCCGGCGCGCCGGACTGTTCTGATGTGATTCTCGCAGCGCATCGAATGCCCCGCCGCGTTCTCTGCTCCGCTTTCTTGAAACAGCCCGCCCAGCACCCGGCCTCCCTTTGGAGCGTCGCCTCGCGCTCTCACGCGCTGACCTCGCCATCACGTGGTGACGCCGCCGTAAGGGCTCTCCGAGTAGGCAGTCGCGTACCGCTGGTTGAAGGACTTGCGCAGCGAGCCCCAGAAGCCGGCCGACTTGTGGCGGTAGGCGTTGGCGTAGTTGTTGACGTTGATTCGGCCGGGCTCGAGAGGGCTGGAGCTGCGGTCGCTGCTGACGGCCAGCCCCGGCCGCAGCGCCTGCTGCTCGCGTCGCTGCCGCCACTTGCAGAAGAGCAGCAGCGCCACGAAGAAGCAGAGCGCGAAGCCGCCAACCACGCCGCTGGTGATGAGCGCGTCGCGCCCGCCGACGGTCTCCTCCGCCCGCGTCCCGATGTCGAACACGGTCGAGTCGACCTCGTGCTGGTCGCCGCCGCCGCCACCACCGCCGCTGGTGCCGCCGGCCGCCGCCCACACGGCCTCCGTCTCGCGGTTGATCTGCTCGAAGAGCAGGTCGGGCGACAGACTGGGCGGCGCGGAGGCCGGGGGACGCTGGTAACTGTCGCGTGGCCGAGGCGGGGGCAGTCGGCCTGGCCCGGCCGCCGGCCGACCGTACACGGGCGGCGCCGCCGTCTGCAGACGGATGCCGAGCCCGTTCCCGGGCAATGGCGCCGGTGGCGGCGGTGGCGCCGCCTCCGTGCTCGAAGGCGCCAAAGGAGGCTGCGACGGGGCTGCGGTAGACCGTGTCAGGAAGGCCGGCACGTGCGGAGTGGTGACGGCGGCGGCGGGCGGCGGCGGCGCGCGCGTCGGCGGCCGCCAGTCGACACCGTTGTACTCCTCTAGCACGGCGCGCACATTGCCACCCTGCGATATGAACTGCTTCAGCGTCAGGTTCTTGATGCCAAGGATTTCAGCCAGGCTGAAGACCTTCTTTGTCGTGGTGCCCGGTGGTGTAGCGGTCGTCGCCGCGTCGACGTCTTCCTCGGCGTCTTCCACGCCGTTGTATTCGAGCAGCAGCTGCTTGATGTTGCCGCCCTGTGCGAGGAACTCGGGCAGCGTGACCTGCTTCTCGACGAGGATCTCGGCCAGACTCCACTGCCTCCGCCGGCCGGCGGGGGAGGACTCGGCGGCGCTGGAGAGCGGAGCCGCATCCGCTGGTGTCTCCGTCGTCTGCCGCGCGATGCCCGGGCGGTCCATCGGCTCAGGTGGAGGAGGTGGTACCGTCTTCCCAGCCACAAGGCTGCCTTCGGATCGATTCGACTGTGGTATGGCGACTACGTTGTCGCCAGTCTCGGGAGATTCACGCTCAGTGTCTGCGGTCTCTTGCCGCTGGCTGGCACGGTCCTTGGCTACCCCTGCCGAATTTTGCCGTTTGGCCGCTCCGCCTGAGTTGGTTTGAGCACGTTTGGCGCCCTCAGCGACCTCAGGTCGGATGATCGGCCGGCCCTCGCGGCGCGCTCTGAGTCTCTCGATGACAGCCATGACGTCCTTCATGCTGTAGTCGCTGCTGAGGAACTGCGCCAGGCTCTGCCCCGACTCAACCAACATCTCAGCGAGACTGAACGGCTGGATGGCGGAGCGGACAGCCTCCAGCGAGGGCTTCCTTTTGCGCACTGGTGGTGTCGCCCTGGTGGTGGGAGCGGAATTCGCTGGAACGCTGGCCCTGCCGACGGGTTCGGTGATGGACACTTCTGTGGCTATCGCCTCCGTGCTGGACGCTTCCTCTTCCGTGCCCTGGGCCGAGGTGCTGCGGCTGGTCGCTGCCTGGGTGGAGGTGTGCTCCAGCCCGCGCTGAGTCGGGACGAACCGGGTTGTCGTCGGCTGGGTGGAGGTCGTCTCTGCCGCGCGCTGCGTCGAGACGAGCAGGGTTGTCGTCGGCTGGCTGGAGGTCGTCTCCTCCGCGCGCAGCGTCGAGACGAGCAGGGTTGTCGTCGGCTGGGTGGGGGTCGTCTCCGCCGCGCGCTGCGTCGAGACGAGCAGGGTTGTCGTCGGCTGGGTGGAGGTCGTCTCCGCCGCGCGCTGTGTCGAGACGAGCAGGGTTGTCGTCGGCTGGGTGGAGGTCGTCTCCACTGCGCGCTGTGTTGGGACGCGTTGGGTCGTCGTGGCTTCAGTGACCCTGTTCGGAGTACCTTTGCCGAAGCGGTAGAACTTGGAGAATGTTGGCCTGGACCGTAAACTGGGGATAGGTCGTCGAGTGATGGGCTGTTCTTGGGGTGACGAGACAGGAAGCGAGAGGGCAGTCGTTACTTCTTGATCTTTGGGCTTCTGGGAGCTAGTTCTACCGGGCCAAGCAGATATCATGGGAGTTTCAGTCCTGTCTTCATCGCCGTTGACCACCGGCTCCTTTGCGGGTACTGCAACAAAGGTCTCATATAATTCGGATTGGCTTGACCCTAGTGAGACCCCGTGAGATTCTGTCGTTGCTTCGGTGCTTGTAAGGCTTGTAGTTTGACCGCTACCCGTATAATCGACCGAGGATGCCGACTGTGCAGTCGACGAATTTACGTCTTCCAAACCACCACCAGTTTCTGTTGTTGGCGCTTCACCCTGGACTGTTGCTGGCCTACCTGCACTGTCGCTGGTAAACTCTGGGAAGTTGGAGAACAGGTACAGCCGAGTCCGTGTTGGCACCTGTCTGGTGTCGACCTTCAACGAAGAACCGGGCTGGACTTCCTCCGATTCCGGTTTGTCATGTTGGTCTGCAGTGGAGCTGATGGCGGCATCTCCAGGCTCTGTGGTCGTCTCCAGTTGGAGGGAGATTTGCAGGTCGCTTCGCCTCTCAGTGGTGCTGGGTGTGCCTCGTACCGTAGTCCCTTGAACCGTGTCTGTAGAAGCTTCGTCCGCGTCCAGCTCGAAAGCCACTGTGACGTCTTCAGTCACGCTATTGGCAGCCTGAGACTGTTCTGTCGCTATTTCCACTGGCGATTCAGACTTCGGAGTGCTAGCCTCCGCAACATCTCCAGCTTCGTCTCTCGTGCTGCCCAATGTGCCGGGCTCGTCGCTGTGGACTTCATTTATGAAATATTGACTGTGGACCTCGTTTGTGTCTTCAGTGGACACAGGTTTACCATGCAACTGGCGAGGTCGCTCGGTGGGATACACCGGCTCGACTACCTCGTTCTCTGCCTCCGTTGTGGCACGCTCTCCATTTAACCAGTCAGCTTCCGTAGTTGGTCGCAGTTTTCCTGTCTCTGCGTTGGTGGGATCGGTTGAATAGTATTCATATTTATCTTCACTTCCCCCATAACTGAAGTCTTGCAAATATTCTTCATGTTCCAGGATATCAGTAGGGTCGTACTCATCATCTTCGCCATCGCCGTCTTCAGGTGTCCCCGTTTGCACCACCGTGGCTTGCGTAGTGTGGCGCTGTCGCTCAACCCGTCCCGGCTCGGCAAGGTCGTTGTAATCCCCGTTTCCATAACCTATCTCGGATTCGCTGTCACCGTGCTCTTCTGCGGGCAGCTCCAGTACAGGATCTGCCGCTGTGAGTAAAATCATCGTGATGGGCTGGAGCGCGAGCGGGGGGAGTTGGCTGGTGCCGCCGGGTATATTCCGGCCCTTGAGTCGTGGTCGCCGGCAGCGGCTGGGTCGCAGGTAGATCCCGCGTTTCTGTCGAGGCGACAAGACCGTCACCATCGTCCGCACGGCTCAAGAACGCGGCGTCGTCATAGTCATAATATTCGTCATCGTAGTCGTAATATTCAACGTCGAGCTCCTCTTCCAAGGCCTGGTGATCTCCTGGCCTCTCTGTCGGCTTTCCCACGTTGTATCTTTCATACGAGGAGGTGGGCTCATCCTCTAATAATGCATCGGATTCCACCGTGACATTCTGCACAGTTTCCTCTGGCGCTGGGTAGGTGACGCCCTCTGTGTCCACGTCTGATGTCAACATCGGCCTGGCGGCAGAATTTTGGTACTCGCCATATTCACTGTACTTCACAGATGGCGGGTCAGTCGGCGCATCGTCCTGCGGAGCCTCAGTGACAGCGGAAAGCTCGGTGCCGTCTTCATGCTCCACTTCGGCTTCGGCAGCGTGCTCAGGACTTGTTTCAGACCTGGACTCATCACCAGCAGAGGCAATAGAGCCAGCATAATGGCTTGAGTCCGGGGTTGGCTCGTCTGTGGAGTCCCATTCGCTCTCGAACTCCTCGCCAGCCGGGGCGTTGGAGTCGTGTGCCGCATCGGCCGGGCCGCCTGCCGCTTCCTGTCCAAACGGCGCCGGGGGCTCGTCCTCCGACAGCGTGCTTGACGCGTCTGATGTCTCCGCCTCATCGCCCAACCCGGCGGACGCCTGAGCGGCCAGGGCGCCCAGCAACAAGTGCGCGTAGTCGATGGAGGGCGGCGGCGGGACGGCAGGGGGCCGCCGCCACCGGCTGCCGACTGGCCGGGGTCGACGCGAGCCCAGTCCGTGGCTGGCGGGGAACGTGGGCACTGCCGGTCGGCCGAACACGGCGTTGTGCTCCTCGGTGGGGTAGCGGTCATACTTGGTGCGCCACGGCTCGCGCAGCGTGGGCGACAGCCAGTCGCTCTCGTCCCCGTCCAGCTGGTGCGGCGGCGGCGCGCCGTCCGGGTCGTCTCGCGGCCAGACGCCGTCCCCGCCCGGAGCTCTTGACTGCAGGTGAGGACGTGACGGCAGCCGGGGACCGGCCGTCCGCGCCTCCGCCTGCCGGTGCGGCGACGAGGCGTCGTCGTCTGACTGGGGCACAGACAGTTGGTACCTGTTGGATGTCCTAGACCTTACCCGAGGTCTCCCAGTCTGAGTTTCGACAGGGCTTCCTCGGTTTTGGGACTCGTATTCGGGGTGTGGCGCCACAGATTCGTACCCGTCATTGCTTCCGGGCCTCGGGCGCGGGCTCGTCGCCAGCGACTGCGTGAAACGCTCGCTGCCAGTCGTGTCGTATTTCGGCTGCGACCCCGACACGTGTTCGCGGTCCGCCCTTCGGTAGTTCAGCTGCGGCTCCTCTCTGCCACCGTCGCTCCCTCGCTCGAGCCCGGTCGGCGGTGCGTCGGCGTCCGCCGGCAGCGGCGGCGCCAGCGCCCCTGGCGGCGGCCGCGGTCGCCACTGGAACTGCTGCGGCGCGAACCTTACATCCGGGAGCCGGCCGGTGCGCGGGTCCGGCAGCCGCGCCAGCACGGGAGCCGGCGGCAGCCACGCGTCCGGCCATGGCCGCGACAGCTGCGGCCGCCGCTCCAGCCTGCGGGCACACCGGTCACCGGGTCACAGGCGGTGTCACGGCCTGCTGCAGGCGGACAGGGATCGCAGTGTGACGTCGCGGCCCGGTGGCGGTCGGCAGCGGGTCACACGTACCTTACGGTCACGGCCGCCACGGTATGGTGTGCAGATTGGCACGGGATTGACCGGACCACCACGCGACTGGTCACGGACTGGTGAGGACCGACATGGAGTCACGAGGAGCATCGTGATCTCGTCCGGACGGACATCACGTCAAGCAAGAAGCCTGGTCTCCTATGGATTTGTATACTGTTGTACGCCAGGTAGCATGGTCTTATATGAATGGGCACAGGGTCCTGCAAAGACGTTGTGGATTGCGGGATGAATAACGAGAATGGCAGTCGCGTTGGTTAGTTAAACCATTAGCATACGATTCACGCGTGCTGAGGGGCTCGATTTACTTATCTCGCCAAAAACAAGCTGCAGGTATGCACGTGCGGCAACAGTCGAATGGTACTGGAGCTGACATGTTCGCACTACCGCGACTCAGGCGAGCACCACGATCGTCCTGTGCTAATGCCGCACACACAATCACACAGCCCGCCAAGTTGACGGGGGCCTGGTGCTGACGCAGCGACAGTGCTGCCGGCCGGCCGTCTGGCGGCCGCGCGCGCTCGTGCGCCGCGTCGGTGGTGAGCGGAGGAAGTGGCGCCGGTTCCGGTCTGGTTCGCACGCTCTCAGACCAGGCCTGACGGCTGTAAGCCGGAGAGAAGGCAAGGCACGCGGCACAAGCGGACGGGGGTCCGGCCGTGGCCGCCCGCTCACACAATCGATCCAGGGGCTCGCGGTGGTCACGCAGACCCGCCACGTGATGACTGCTGGATAGGGGCAGCACACCAGGGTACGGAAGTGTCCTGGCATGCATAACATTTCAGTGGCGGTAGTGCAGCGAAACACTTTGACGACAGCGGGAAATACTATCACGTGGTACATCAATGATCGAATGGTGCACGTCACTTTGTCAGTTTGGTGGTGTGGCTGCACAGCTGGGCCCACGTGTCGGGTAACGTCACTGAGGGATCTTACTTAATCTAAGCGTATCTTTAACTCCCACGACAAGCAGGTTTCGTTTAGCGACAGCTATTCGTGCCTTGCACGTGAACAGAGCAGCGACTTTATACCAAATGGTGCGCGCTGAGACACTTTCGAGCCGGGCCGAACGAGCGCAAGGCAGCTCTTTCACTTGGAGGTCCGGGCAGAGGTGCCTGGGAACGCCCCTTGTTCGCAGGCCCAGTAGCGGCTCCACTCCTCCCCTGAATTGAGCACTTCCCGTGCCGGCGTGGTGGCGTACCAGCGTCACTTTCCCCGGGCCGGGTCGTGCCCGGTCGTAGTCTACGGCGAGGGACGCAGCCGGCCGTGCCCCGGGCGTGGGAACGGCGGGAGGTGGCGGAGCAGTGAAAATCGCAGAAGCGTGCCGTAGACACGCTCGTCGGGCTCGCCGTGACCTTGAGCATAGTTTGGCTGTCAGACATCCTCTATTAGTTGCAGACTTGCGGGCATCTCAAAGTCCTGCCATCTAGCGGTTGGAGGTTCAGGATATCCGTATGGGGCAAACGGATATTTTGCGGCTGCACTTGTCCCCGTTCACACGGTTTTGTTATGGTATCCCACCGGCGTCTGAAGACCAGAATGATCTGTGTGATATCGCGACAGCTCCGATGTTCATGGTGAAAGCGAACTGATTTATTGCTTTCCTATTCGGAGATATTCATTTAGTGACCTGCGTCCGAAGCCTGAATTTCGAGTTATGCTCCACTTAGGCATTGTTATTGTTTTACACAGAAACAAAAGTATGTCGCAGGAGCTCAACGCATTTATCTGCTTTTATGGCGTTGGTTGACACAAAATAAATGGAACCAAACGTAAGGCTGAACGCATCGAACTAACTGTGCGAACGCGTAATGCTAACGACCAGTCCAAACCTGGTGAGTCGTTCCCTTCCGTACGGTATCTGGTAGCGGCTGGACCACGGCCATCCTGGCGCCGGTAGGGCTCGTTCCGCGCCGCTGCTGATCCCGCCGGCGGCGCTGGCCAGGTCGCGGGTCACTGACGGTCCGAGGCCGGTCAGGCGGCACCGGGCCACCACCTCTGCCACGGCTGGGCGCGCCGCCACCTAGCGACCGGGTGGCCTGAACGGTCCGGGGCTGTGCCGGCCCCGGCCGGCCAGCCCGCGGCTACACCGGCTGCGAGTCTGACGTGCGCCGCGGCCAGCCGCCGCGGTCTCCCTGCCAAGAGCGCCGCCGGCTCGCCTGCCACGACCAGCTGACGATCACCTGACGACCAGCTGATCGGCGCGGGCGTCCAGCTGGCCGTCGCATGCCAGCTCGCTCACCACCAGGTGGCGGTACTGTATCGGCCCGTGATGACTGGGTGGCCAACAAATTGTCTTACCCTGGCCGTGATGGACAGCGGAAAAAGTCGCGGCTACCGGCTGGTGCCGGACCATCTGGACGTTGTCTGGCCACGGGACCAGTTCGCAGGCCGCCTATGAACCGGCAGCTCTTGCGCCGAGCACGATTTGTCCATATCGTGCGGACTGTGGCAGATCACATGCGCCTACCCTCACGTCACTGCTCCATCAGAGTCAGCGCATTGCACGTGTACGTTGGGCTTCAAACGTCGCGTGGGACGATGGTCTGTACGTCGGAGTATTGCACTCGAGCAAGCATCACCCTCAGCAGCTGACCCCAGCCAGTTCGCACGACCGCATTACCTGCCTCTACCGAGCTTGGGCTGGCCCGCTCACACCTATTCCGACGTGAGTTAATTTCGCCTGAGCCTATTAAAGCTCGCTACCTTAGACAGCCTGCTGACCTGAAACATGATGACCCTTTGCACCGCAGCCGGATCTCACATAGGACTCGACTCATCCTGTCCTGACCTGACCCAGCTTGAGTTCCTCCTCGCTACGCAGCCCCGTTAGGAACGGCCCATCTCAGCTGGCAGTCTGCGCACGGCTGCCTGCGGAAGTTCGTGGATTCCAGTCCACCTACTGGCCTAGAGTCTCGTCGCTTCACGCGATAATCAGCGTGAGAGATTGCGATGCGAATGATCTGGTGCTTTCAACGCGTCGTAAAGCCCCTCCCGCCCGCCAAACATCATCACCATTGCCCGCGGCGCTCCCTCCAGCTCGGGACGCGAACAACGCCAGCTGACCGGCGGCGCAGGATTCGCCACCACGTGACCGGGAGGACCACGTGGCCGGCGGGCCGCGTGGCCAGTCGAGCGTGACCAGCTCCATTGCCCCGGTGGCCTGGGCAGCTCCCGCCCGCCGAGACGAGGCCAGCCAGAGCGGACAGGCCGCGAATACGGGTCAGACGCGGCTGCGGGGCCAGGCCGGCCCGACTGGCACACAGCCGGGCCGTCCAGACACGCCGAGTTACGCGCCGCGGATATAGGTGAACGGCCAGGTCACGCTGATGAGACGGGTCACCGGTGGACGAGGCTGAGCCTTCACGCGGCCGACTGTATCGCTGGCGCCGAGTGCGCGCTGGTGTCGCGTGCGTGGTACCGCCGCTTGCGTGCGGGGAACCGCTGCTTGCGTGCGTGGTACCGCTGCTTGCGTGCGTGGTACCGCTGCTTGCATGCGGGGAACCGCTGTTTGCACTTAAAACATGCCGCTTTTTGGGAAGGAAAAGTTGCATAACTGGACATTTGAAGTGTGCCGAAATAGTGCCACAGAGAACAAGAATGTCGCTGTAACGTTTATCCAACCAAACGCTGATACATGAGAAGATACATGGCTTTTACTTGACATGTCATCAATGCTTCCACCTGTGAATTCACCAAAGTGAATTCACAATGAAGTCAATGCACCTGTGAATTCACGGTTGTATTCCCGCATTATAAGCTTGTTCACACATGGAGAAATATTCACGCCATTGTCTGGCATACAATGTGTGATTGGTGTAGTGTCCCCGCGTGATTCAGCGCACGACTCGCACCACGTCCTCCCACATACACACCGAGAGAGCTGACCCCTACCGAGGGCACCGCTTTGGTACGGTCACGTCCTAGAACTATCCGTGCCAGATGTGTCCCTCGCTGTCCGCTCGGACAGCTACGGTATTGGCTGTGGACAAAGTTCGTGAACGTTTGTCCCACGCGTGGTCAACCTGGCGGTGATTTTCCAGCTGAATTCATTTCCGTCACGTTTGACAGAAAAAAATGTGCCAAATATCGGCAGAAAACAGCATTGGCTATCTAACAAGACAGGAAGTAGAGTATGTAAGGCGGCACGCGTCTGAGCTCACAGACGGCCAGCAGACACCGGACGCTCGTGCCGCGGCGGTAATCAAACGGTGGCGACGGCAGCCAGTAATCGGCGCCGTGTTACCGTCTGTTCGCGGCGCCAGGTGGTTAAAACACAAGGATGGGCTCGACAGAGCTGCGCCGGTATGAGCAAGTTTCATAACATTTTTGAGGAATCGCTGCTTTCCAATGGCATGTGGTTCAAGAGGCGGCAGGCTCAAAGTTGGTCACCCACCATCTGGCCCGGAACTTTTAACAGCAAGAGGTACTGATAACCGAACCGCGAAAAGTCGGGAAATGGATTGGAGATAGTTAAATCTGATGGGTTCTCAAAAGTTTAAAGTCATCGCTCTTCCCTAAACTGAACTAGTTGCATGACGAAAGCACACCGGTTTAATCATAGCAAGTAAATCATGTTCACTTTATTGCAAACGGTATGATAGCTCACATTTTTTAGGGCCATTCTCGGGTTCGTAGTCAGTTGGTTTGTTCTTTTTTACTGAAAAAGATCAGCGTCTAGCATCAAACGAGAAAAGTAAAATGGGTCTCAAATATAGACAAACATAAGATCTGCCGTTAAGACCTGCCTGCCGTTGTTCGGCCAGCGCAGTCCACCTGCCCCAGCTAACGAGAACCTCCCTACCTCGTCTGGTGGTACCTCTCCCCCGTCCGACCGCGCCTATCTGTCTCCTCCTTGGCCCCCGCTCCTCGCTCCCACGTTCACCCCACCCCCTCCCTGATCCAGACGATCAGTGTACCGCAGACACGCGGGTCCATCTCCAGACTGAGCCAGACGTCACCGGTGGTCTGCTCCGCCGCCAGGCCGGCCACCTGGGCCCGCCGGGTGCCAGCGCACCGCAGATGTCTTGCGTGCGCCGGCCAGACCGCTTTCTTTTTCATTTCGGCTCCATATGCCCCACACGGGCCGCCGGCCGCGTCTCTTTTGTCCCAGGAACGGAAGCTGCCCGACGGCGCCTGAGCTGACTCCGAGACGGCGAGGTGTCGTCGGCCGACCGCTTGAGCCCGATGTCCACCACAAGATATAACAATGGGCACGCTTCATACACGTCGTCTTCAAAGCGGTGCAATACCCGTGCTTACGCTGTTAGTGATGATACATGCTCTTATAAAATGCCCTGCTGAGAACTACGGCTCCAAAGGGAAACAGAAAGACTGAGCGTATGAAGACAGCGAATAGCATGCATAAAACTGTTATAGAATGTCGCATCCACCAAAAAATGTTGTGCCTGTCGGTGATAGCAGGCACATTTAACTGCCAAGATACTCGTTTGACGAGTGTGTTGTGGTCGAGCTATGTTGGACCACGCCCGATTTTGCCGCTTAAAGTTGAGTTTTCACGCAAAAGAAAAGGTTTGACTGGCCAGGATTTCACTTGCAACATTAAACGCATTATCAAAAACATGTTTTTTGCATGGCCAACAGAACGATGTACATGTCGCATAAGATCCGCCGTGTGACGGGCATTTGAGAGGGATCACAGCCCGCCGCTGGCGCTGCGGAGGTTCGTGCCTCGAGGAGGTCGTCACGAGGTCAGAGTATCATGGCAGCTGACCTGTTGGTCGGGCGACGTCGGTCGGCGGGGGTGGCCCGCCGCCACGGCTCCCAGCCGCCAGCCCCGCTCTGCTGCGACACACGCGACGACTCCTCGGCCACCATCTGCCAGAGTACAGAGTCAGAGTCACCACCGAGTCAGGGGCGCCCACGCCACGCCGCAGAGGAGGGCAGTGAGGTTCGAAGAAGGAGGGGACCACGCCGTGCGCCCGGCGCTGGGCGACAGCGACGGAACCGGCCGACGGGGTAATCAAATATTGTCATTTTGAGTAAGGGCTTGCGCATCATGCTACCAGGCTTTACACAGCATCACGGGCTTTATACTCGGTGCTCAACATGTCAATGATGCCATTATTATGACATATCATTGTTGTCATTATTTTGTCTTAAAAAGACAGATTTCTGCTTATCTTCCAAAAGCTTCGCCCGACATCGCCAGGAGAGTTCGTGTCTTACCTCCCCGTCAAAGTTTACGTTGACCTGAGCCGCGGCAAAGTTAGCCATCGTCAGGATGCAGAGGCCGACGGCAGCCAGCGTTTCCGGACGAACACCGCAGATCCGGCGACTGAAAACAAACAGGCGGGGTCAGGTCACCACCCAGCCGAAGATCAGGCCCAACGACTGAAAACAAATAGGCGGGGTAAAGTAGCCGCCCAGGGGAAAATTGAAAGAGAGAAAGAGAGAGAGAGAGAGAGAGAGAGAGAGAGAGAGAGAGAGAGAGAGAGAGAGAGAGGAGAGAGAGAGAGAGAGAGAGAGAGAGAGGAGAGAGAGAGAGAGAGGAGAGAGAGAGAGAGTGAGAGAGAGAGTCCCCCTATCATGTATACCGCCCAGGAAAATGGGCGATAGACCGGCAACATTGTATCTAAAAATTAAAAATAGAACGTACTGTTCAGTTACCGCAGATGGGTGCAATGCCAGTCAACGTGTCTGGAGGGTGCTAGTATCGGGTTTGATACCCAGTAAGGCCTCCTGTTTGACCGAACACATTGATGGGGCGTGGCGAACAATAAGCATACGGTTGATCTGCCGTTCGGGCAGTCACATTCATGCACCAGGATCAGCGCGCCATGCCGAGTAAAGGCTGATGCTTTGGCGGTGAAATCTGGACCTGCCAAGCAGCCCTGCTGATCTCAGAATTCGATTTCATGACCGGATGTAGATCGCGCATCAAACCACAAAAAGTGATACACGCACAAAGCGTGGATAAAACGTGAGGTTTCTCCTGCTCCTCACATATTTGACGAAAGGCTTTAGCGATTTGGGCATATTAACTACCCGTAAGGCGCATGATGGCAAAAGAGTGCACGTACGATTTTGCAATGAAAGTGGAAATGGGGTATACAGAATTTTGCAATTTCACAACAAAACAAAAAATAAAAACATTTAGCACGCTTTTTGCATTGCATATAACAGCATCGTTTAACTTCAATCCACTCCAGTGGGTAAACACAATATTCCTATGGGTCTACCCAAATTTGTAACCGCCCACAATTATTCGCGTTGAAATCAACGCGTTTTAAAATTTGACAACGGCACGCGCGCCAACAATGCCTCCTCGACTACACACGCGCTATGCCATCAACCAGCTCTTGCTCATTTACACCATACGTGTGGTGAAACACGCATTTCTACATTCACGCTTACAGGCATTCCTAAAAGCGGCTCGGAAAGCATGCTGAAGTGGGACTACCATCCGTTCGCGGCAATGAAAGGCTTTCACTCCAGTGTCAAGGATTGCGAAATGCGTGCACGTGACAAACAAGCACGTGCGTGCGTGACGTCTAGAGAACAGCGCAGTAAAAAATAGATCCTGTCACTCGGCGTAATGAATTTCTCGATGTTGTCACGTTTCTTTTTCGCAGGCGTCTTGACCATTAGCGGAACTCCGCGCCAGCGCTCAGGTCGGATTAGCCATTGTTCCGCCAGCCGACGACGGCGCCACAAAGACCACCAATCCGACGTGGATGTATTGGCTAGTTTCAAATACCTTTACCGCAGCGCTGTCGCTCCTGGCGCGCGAGCCGGCACAAGAAGAAGAGGTCGCAGGTCAGGATACTACAGCCCTGGTTTGGTTTGCCCGCAGCTCGGCGAAAGTGGCTTTTTGAACACGTGCGAAATGTCCGTCTGATGGCGTTATGGGTGAGCTGGGTCATGGGAATCAGGTTACTCCACGGACAACACGGTCCCTGAGAGACACGGTGTCAGCTCGGGATCGGACCGTTCCTACGTAACATATGCGGGGACCTTTTTAGGCCCGCTGGGGTGGTTGGTTCTATAGTCAGCCTTGTGGCATAATGTGCATCAAGAAGAAGCACATGCGCTAATCCAGCATGCACAGCGTACAGTCGAATGCAGATTGGTCGGAAACGTGACAAGAAACGGCTGCTTACTTTTCCAAATATTGACATGTCTATTATCACATGCATCGATGGGTACTTTCAGAACAGGCCATTTCGTTCGGTGGCTGCTGCGTTCTCGCACGCTTCAGTGGTTGTAATGTCCGGCTTTATCTTCGATCGACGATCGGCTGGGAAAGGGAACCACATTCGTTTCGCAACTAGTCGAGTGCCCCGTCCTCTCGCCGTGCTGCCTGCGAAGTCTCGTCGAGTGCCCCGCCCTCTCGCCGTGCTGCCCGCAAAGTCTCGTCGAGTGCCCCGCCCTCTCGCCGTGCTGCCCGCAAAGTCTCGTCGAGTGTTCCGCCCTCTCGCCGTGCTGCCTGCGAAGTCTCGTCGAGTGCCGCGTCCTCTCGCCGTGCTGCCCGCGAAGTCTCGTCGAGTGTTCCGCCCTCTCGCCGTGCTGCCCGCAAAGTCTCGTCGAGTGTTCCGTCCTCTCGCCGTGCTGCCTGCGAAGTCTCGTCGAGTGCCCCGTCCTCTCGCCGTGCTGCCCGCGAAGTCTCGTCGAGTGTTCCGTCCTCTCGCCGTGCTGCCCGCGAAGTCTCGTCGAGTGCCCCGTCCTCTCACCGTGCTGCCCGCGAAGTCCCGTCGAGTGTTCCGTCCTCTCACCGTGCTGCCCGCGAAGTCTCGTCGAGTGTCCCGCCCTCCTGCCATGCTGCCCGCGAAGTCGAGTAAGCGGCCGACAGACTCCTGTGTCGCGTCGCATTTCCAACCCGAGCGCGTTGTACCGCCGCTGCAGTCGGCTGCTTGGATGGTCAGCACCACGAGCGATACAACCGCAGTCGGCGGAGAACGACACGACGTCCCGTCGGTGGTGTGCGACGTCGAAACTCTTCATGGTTCGTGCGTTGGGAACGGGGCGATGCAGAGATCGGGGACACTTGTGCGCATCGTGCTGACTCGTGTATATGGCATATCGTATATCGCACGGACGTATATCGTACGTCCTTTCTTAAAACGACTCAACCACGGGAATGATGTCTCGAAAGATCCGCAGCAAAACTACCTGTCGACTGTCTGCTGGCCTCTCAAAACGACAATGGAGTGCTTTCGTTCGAAATCGGTCGGTGCGCGAAACATGTTAGTGCCGCGGGTCATAAGTTTAGAAGAACACAAGGGGTTTTTAAGCGTTCTTTCCGTACAATGCCATGCAGGCGCAATGTTCAAAATCTGGAAATGTTGGAGCGGGCCTGATCCCGTTTTCCGTCTCCTTGCAACAAAGTCCATGAGTGTTCAAAGTGAATAGTTCCTCTTAACTGGATACAACACCTCCCGTTGGAGCGCTCTACACAAATGTCTTCTCCCTTGGTTTTACTTAGAGCGGTATGGGTTTTACCCACGGGTTTAGCCGAAAATGGTCGGCGAGCGCAGCGTGTATTCAGTGCGCCGTGCAACAGCATCTTCGCATCCCCGAAGAGAAAACATCCGCCAATGAGTCTGTCCGCGCCGTCCCGTTCCACGCAAGCTCCTGGCCGGGCTCGAGGAATCTAGACCACCGCCTGGGCTCGGTCACCGGCCGGCGGACACGCCGCCGTCTCCTCACGCGCCGACCACGTGCGGTGCTCCTGTGTCGCGGCCGCGGCCGCAGAGTCGTCCACTGTCGGCACCGTGAATGGCCGCAAATAAGCCGGGTGACTGGACGCGCGCTGCGCCGCGGCATCTGGTGGCAGCTGTCGGTCGGCCAGTGTCGCCGCGTCGGCAGACGGCGCCCCGAACTGTCACAGCGCCGCCGCCGGCTCACCGCCGAATCAAGGCCACGCCGATTTCACGCGCCGGCGTCTGCCGACCTGCCGCGATCTGCCGCGAGATCGGGGCGGCCGCGTCCAGGCGGACCGACCGCCGGCTGCCGGATCGTCCCGCGGTCGGCACCGACGGCGGCGGCGGCGGAGGTGGCGGCGGGGGTGGCGGCGGCCCGGTTAGCCGGCCGGCGCGCGTCGCCGCTGGGTCGCGGATCCGCGACCGGGCGAGGTGGGCTCGCCAACCGAGTGCCGGACCGAAGACGGGCCGGTACGAGCTTGGACCGGAGAAGGGCCGGCACGAGCCGGGGCTGAAGACAGGCCGGTACGAGCCCAGACTGGGGACGGGCCGGCACGAGCCGGGACGGCAGCTGCGCCGTGTCCTCGTCCGTCGGTGCCTAGGTCAGCTGCGGCTGCCTGACGTGCTCCCAATTTCCAGCGCCTGGTGTTGGCCTGACTGCAATTAGTCGCTGTTTAGCTTTAATATCTTCTCTCAGTGGGGCAGTTATTCACGGCAGGTTTGGACTTTTTCTGTTGAAGTGAGTGGCTGTCACAGGAAGCGGATCAGAAGGCTGGCCTTTTCACAAAGCTTGCACGCCAGGTATGTTCAAAAGATAAAAAAGTCACCCGGACAACACGACAGAGGGCGCAGCAGGCTCACGCTTCCCCGGGCCTCGTCAGCGGGCGGCTGTTTGACCACAGCTCGTCAGCGGGCGGCTGTTTGACCACAGCTCGTCAGCGGGTGGCTGTTTGGCCACAGCTCGTCAGCGGGCGGCTGTTTGACCACGGCTCGTCAGCGTGCGGCTGTTTGACCACAGCTCGTCAGCGGGTGGCTGTTTGACCACGGCTCGTCAGCGGGCGGCTGTTTGACCACGGCTCGTCAGCGGGCGGCTGTTTGACCACGGCTCGTCAGCGGGCGGCTGTTTGACCACAGCTCGTCAGCGGGCGGCTGTTTGACCACGGCTCGCGGTGCGCTCGTCAACACCGCATTGCCTCGCTGACGGGGAACGGTGTGCTGACGCGCGCTGGCACGGCTCGGCGCGCCACGCCACGGCACGGGCTCAGCGTCGGTCGCACGCTCTAGTTGCCGCGAAACTCACCACACCGCCGGCGCCCTCCGGGCATCGAGTCGAGCCGCTGCTCAAGACGCGAGTGTGGACGCGGACGGACGGCCTGGGGTGAGGGGGGGGGGGAGGCAGCTGTGAAGTGCTTCCGAAGCAGTTCACGGCTGCTTGCCTACGGCAGCATCAACACTTGCTACGTGAGCGATAGTCACGTGGTTTTGCTTGTTTGTGAACGAGTAAGTAAGCCGTTCACGGTCTGTCGAAGCTTAAGATGGCGGTGGGGTTGTTTTTTGGTGGAGAAGTGAGAGGGTTGAAGTAAGGTAGTTCCCAATGACGGTGCGCGTGAAGGGATGTCGAAGCAAGGCGTCGCAG